ACAACAACGATTAGATTACAATAAAATATTACATTTAGAAATGAAAATAATTGTGTTAATTATTCAATTTAGTACTGTAATGAGATGTAATAAAAAGTAAATATTTCTGAATAATATTTTACACCCATTATAATTAGGTGACATTATATTTGGTTTAAAGGACAGCAGCAAAGTATTATTATTTATAAGGTTAAAATTATAATAATAAATTTTATTTAAAGAGTCTTTCAAGAAACCCAAGGTCACTGTACTACATATATATATATAAATATAAATATAAATATATATATATATATATATATATATATATATACAATCCAAACATTTAAAATTGTAAAATATACATACAATTCAATAATAAAAAAACATAAAATCAATTAATTAACTACAATTCAATGTACTGTGATCCTTTATCATATTTCAACCGATGATTTTTTGTAAATACCAAACAGCATATTTTGTCACATAAACTTAATTAAATAGGAGTATAGCATTTAAGTGAATGTGTTCTGTAAATCAAGGTTTTCAAAACAGTGTCTAATAAACAGGGTTAAAATCTGAACTTAAACTAAAAACTCCCTATTTTATATTTGACCCATTCATGACTAAAATGATATACAACATATATAAATTATTATTTTAATATTGAATAAGAGCTCTGATTTGCCTCGCTGAACAGCACAAACAAAACAGATAAAGGTTACTTATTGCTAGAACCGATGGGAAAAAACGTGTTTCTCCGGCAGTTACATTTTTTATTGCTCAATGTCTTTATGATTGCATTGCAGTGCTCACAACACTGATTTCTTTATCAGGGGCTCCCAACCCTGTCCTTGGGCCCTGAACAAGAATGAGAGCATGAAAACAGATGAGGATATAAAGCAGAACGAGGGGGAGGACAAATCATGACTGTTAGTCCGACAGAACAAAACATACATAATATATCCCTACAACACTTCAGAGATACTTATCTGTAAAAGTAAAGCAATACAGAATAAAAATCAGTCACATGTGTTTCAGTTTAGAAACAGAAATCTAATACATAATTTTTTTGTAATTGTATTACTGGTTTACATTTGTTTAGAGTTTTTTTTTCGCCTTATTTTAACAATAAAGCCATAACAAATGTAATTCTACATTTTTTAATGATTTTTATTATTGCACACATTGCATGGGCCTTGTCTAAATATTATTATGTCTGGCTTTTTAGTGCTGGAAAAGTGTGAGATATAAAAATTTCCATCTCATATGCATATTCATGATCTCAACCACCCTAAGACAAAAGAAGACAACAGGTCTATTTATCATACTAAAAGACAGTGGAGAGAAAGCTTAAGGATGTGAAGTTATTGCATTTGAAAACATCTCTGGGGACCTCTGCTGACCAAAAGACTAAATTAAGAGCTTTTCACCAGTGAGCCCTGATAGTTTCAGTTTCACAATCTACAAAACAGCTATATTATATACAGCTATGGAAATTAAAACTGGAGGCCACTTGGAAATTCTCAGTTTTCATGTATTTGCGTAATGAGAGTTTATATGTTTGTTTTATTTTGCAAACTATTGACTTTTCTTTAAAAATGTAAAATAAATAATCAACTTTTCATAAAACATCTAAATGGTGCCACATTTTTTACATTTAAAATCATATTCGCAAAAAAAAACAATGTTAAGAAATCAATGTTTTGTGGATAAATCCTGATTATCAACCCTTTCAACCAAAACATTTCTTATTATCACAAACTTTCATTTACTTGTCCCTAAATGGGGATTAAAACTGTTATTTAAAATGCCCTAAATGACAATCATTTATTTGGATAAATTTAAGAAATGTTATCAGACATTAAAAAAAAAAAAAACGACAACAACATTGGTATCACTTTATTTTGATGGTCCCTTTAACGCATTTTGTTGAATTTAAGCTACATTGCATCTACATGCTAACTAATTCTCATGAGATTATAAGTAGACTATTGGGTTGTGGCTAGGGTCGAGGTTATGGGTATTGTAAGTTGACATGTACTTGCAAAGTTTCTTATATTGAAGGAGCAGTATCAGCAGATGTTAAGCAGGCAGTCTACTTACATTCAATTAAGAATTAATTGGCATGTAGTTGCAATGCAACTTTTAGTCAACAAAATGTGCAATAGGGACCATCAAAAAAAATGTAATTAGCAGTTTAACATTTTACCCAAACACATCATAAATACAGGGAAGCTGAATTTTTAAGTTGTCTCCCAAAAATTTCATAGGTGTGTATATTTATAATATCTGTAAATCAATTGCAGCATTATCAAAGAATAATAATTACAAACTATTAATTTAAAAACGATTAAATGTCTGTTTTACATCAATAAAAAGGCTGGGGATTTTATTTTAAGGTAGGGAATTAGTTTTAATTATAAATAATGTTCAGAGTGCAAATGCTTCAATATAGTTATCCTAGAAAGGCCCATGCAAGGACCCGCGGGGCCAAGTTGGGCAATATAAGCTTTCATTTTGCCCACCATCTTATTTGAGAAGAGAGGAAGAATGATGGCAATGGTTTAGAGATTGTCATTTTAAATCTAAAGTAACCTTTTTTGTTGGTTTTATTGTTAAAAGCCAACTGAAATAAAAATGAAGTAAATGTACAATGTTAACAATTTCCTTTAAATTCTACAGTAACTTACTGGCAGCAGTTCACCAGTAACTTACTGTATATCAGCAAGAATACTGTATTTACATTTACAGCACTAGTATCTTGCTGTGTATTTACAGTATTTGATTTATACTGTAATTTTCACAATGTAACTTTAAAATACAGTAACATACTGCATAACATGTCCTACAGTAAAATATAGTTACAGCTAAAATACTGTGTAATTTCCAAGGAATTATTAACAACAGTGTTACAACAACTGTCGCCAACAGACTTTGGTGAGCAAATCAAGTCAAAGGCAGATTGTGTTCGATTAGTGTATTCAGCACTGAACTCCACTGAATGTTGCTATATATGTTTATATTGCAATAAGTTATCATTTTAAATGTTACACTGCATTAGAAAAATAAGATTTAAATTAATGTTTTCTATTTATTTTGAAAAAAAAATGGAAATAATTTAGGAAATTACCCATGGCAACTTTAATATAATATAGTTTGATATTTGGTTTTTGGCTCTTCATATGAAAAAGTTTGGGCATCCCTGAGTTATACAAAGAAAAGAAAAGTTCACACTACATTGTAATGACAACGTTATACAGTTCATTGACATCGAGTTATTCTCTAAAATATAAACTATTTTAATACAAAAATATGATCAGATTTACATCACATTCTCAGCATGTTCTAAAATAAAACAGCTCCCGTTAGTCTACTTCACAAAACCTAAACAAGTTTGCGGTATAGTAGTTGCAGTCTCTCTGATTTATATTCAGATTTTGTTTGCATCACAGAGAAGCCTATAAAAATGATTATTCAAGAAAAACTCAAGTCAATCCAACGTAAATACAAAACATTTTCCGTAAATACAATCCAAAGTTAAACAAACACCATGACCAGGGAAATGTCACAAACTATTTACAACACTTTTAAAAGAAACTAAACATGAAATAACAAAAAAACAAACTCACAAACATTCCCAGAGAGGTTACATCCGGATGGGGGAAAAAGCTGATCTGGCTACGGCAACACGGATGTGATTTCTTCAATCTTTTAATCTTCATTCAGCTCTGCTATGCAATTACCCACAAATACACAAACACACATGTACGGCAACACAGCTGTAGATCGTCTCAGCCAAAAAGACAAAAACAGCTGTACGAGGAATGGAGAAAGCCAACAGGGAATATCTGAACTATTGCATTCAGTTTCAGCTTCCCCCGCAGCCATTCAACTTTTACCTCAAGGTCTCCAATAGGCATTCATATTTCCATTTATTTCAAGCCGTGTTAACAATCTCTAAAACATCAGGATTTATCATCCATGTTCAGTATCTACGTTCATGCCACTAGTACTTATTTTTTAGATACTATCTTTTTCATTAAGAAGTGATACTTGTTTATTGGTTACTACTAGTGCTTATTATTTAGGTTTAGTACTGTTAGTTACTAGAAACTATTAAACAGACATTAGTACTTGCTAGGGCTGAACAATATATTTGAGCATGGATATCGCAATGTGTGTATGCGCAATAGTCACACCACAACATTAGATTGTTTATTAAAGATTTAAAGATACAGATATTATTACATTTTATTTTATATTATTAAATAAGATTATTTATACAATGATGACCATGTTATTTTACACTTGATTGCATTTGAATCCTGTTAGTGTCCCCAGAAAACCATAAAGCACTTTTATTTAACTTTTATTTTTTGAAAATTTAGCTTTTAAATATGCTTAATCACCCCAGTCAAACTAAAATCCTGACATCTTTCCCATTAGAACTACTTAAATCATCTTGTGAATTTATATTCCTATCCCAATATAATCGCAACAAAACTAAATATCACAATGTCAGATTTTTCCAATATCATGCAGCCCTACTTGCTCATATACACTGGTTTCTATTACTTAGATATTGCCTTTTAACAATTAGAAACAAATAGTTATTCATAGGCAGTGCAAGACAGAAATTGCAGATATTATTTGCTATTTCTGCAATGACTTTAGGAGTGTTGTAACTAAAAACATAAATAAAATATATATATGAAAATAAACACGTTCCTCATATAACATCTAACAGACTAAATATTTCTTTATAAACTGTATTGTAAAATAATCATATAAACATTTGCATATTAGACAATAATTTTACTGAAACGAATATAAAAAGACATAGCAAGAATAAATACTATCATAATAATAGATGCCAGTGTCTGATAAATAAATATTAGTATCTCAACTTAATTGTTTTATTTTAAATCCATTTAAATTTGCAAAATAAACAAGTTAACTTTCATGTTGTCCCAACACAGACTGTGTGGAACCCAGTTTTATTTATTTATTTATTTTTTTACAGTGTAGATTAAATTGCATGCTTGTGCCATCTAAAATTAGTTTTTGTAGGAGGATTTTTATTAAAGCGACTTAAATACCTTAATTAACCTAAACCCTGTTTGTAAAACTAAGCCTATAAATCTACTCTGACTTTATTTTTCAGCTACAGTTGAAGTCAGACTTATTAGCCTTTTTCTTTTTTAAATATTTCAGAAATAATGTTAAAAAGAACAATGAAATATTCACAGATAATATTTGATAATCTGATAACATTTTTTTCTTCTAGAGAAAGTCTTATTTGTTTTATTTTGGCTAGAATCAAAAGCAGTTTTTAATTTTTTGAAAAACATTTTAAGGTCAAAATTATAATTTTTTAAAAGTATTTTATAACATTTTTTTTCGATAGTCTACAGAACAAACCATTAATATACAATAACTTGCCTAATGACCCTAACCTGCCTAGTTAACAGAATTAAATTAGTTAAGCACTTAAATGTCCCTTTAAGCTGTATAGAAGTGTCTTGAAAAAATGTCTAGTAAATAATTATGTACTGTCATCATGGCAAAGTTAAAATAAATCAGTTATTAGAAATTAGTTATTAAACCTGTGGTTTAGAAATGTGCTAAAAAAATATTCTCTCCGTTAAACAAATTAGGGAAAAAATAAACAGGAGGGCTAATAATTCTGACCTTTTCTGTACATGAGGATACAAACATCTATTTAGCAATAAAAGTGTTTTTTGAACACTTACAGTTTCTATCATCAAGTTAGATCTGCCAGATTCAGACCACTGACTAAATATTTTCCTGCATCCCTGATGGGCGTGATCATGTATTGACAAGAATATAAACCATTATAGGGGTGGTCAATTTTATATTTATATTAACTTAATATTTGTTATTATATAAAGATACAGATCAGTGCAAACTATTTTTCCAAAATGTAAAGTTTAAGACCTTCCCCCACACGTTTTGTTTTGGCGTCCTTAAATGGGGGATCAAGCGTTAATTTATGGGGTCCCCACCCCCAAATCCCACTGTAATTCATCCCTACTAGCCCTTTCCTCTTAAAATTAAGCAGTAGTAGCTAAGGAATAAGTGCTAAAACTTGAAAAAAATAGTATCTATAGAAATAGGTAGCATGAAAATAGATAACCTACATGGTTTATAGATTCAATGTTAAAGCAGCTTGCCATATCATTTAACTTCAAATAAATTATATTTAACAGCATTTTCTCTCTCTCTTTTAAAATGCATCAACATAATATGTAAAATAAAAAGGTATTCTCTGATAAAATCACAACAGATTTTTTTAGTATTGATGAAATACTACAGAACTCCAGTCCTTAGTAGATTTCACACCTTCATTTCCTAATATAGGACCTTCAGTCATATCAGAACACACAAAAGGCTTTGTGCTGGCACTTCTGTAGTAACAGTCTCAGGCCAGAGTCCACCTCTGGGATATAGAGTGTGTTTTGTTTCCAATGTTGACAGAACCCCAACACTGCCAAGTTCTGTCCTTGACCAACAGTGAGAAACTTCAACATTACAAGTAACCCGCAGGAGTGATTGGCCATCGGTGCTTTCAAGAAATGAGCTGCTCTACATTACCCACAATCACACTGAACGAGAAAAACATTAGGAGTGCACAAAAGCGAACAGACACCACATCCTTTCCTCCAGAGAGTCTCCTTTATCTCCCCTGCATTGTATACAACAAGACTGTCCTGAATTCTTCTGAATGCCTGGCTCTGAAGACACAGCTGTTGATAGAGTACACTTGGGATTTATAATAATATTTGAGGCAGTCGTCCAGAACTGTTTTTAAAAACGATTACCCAAAATGTCTGGGTATGTTGCTCTAGAGTCTCGAATCACTGCCAGCTTGGGCATCTGGGTTCTTAAAGGCCAGTTCGATGTTTTTGCCATTAGGTGCGTACTCATACGCAGTAGAACGAGTGTTCGGAGTCTGTCTAGTGAGCACTCGGAGGAGTTTAGAGCGGTAGTGATCCCCTGCCAGGAAGTAGAGGATAGGGTCCAAACAGCTGTTGACACTAGCAAGCGGACGAGTGATTTTATATGAAAAGTTGACAATATTAAGAGTCTTGCAATCTGCGTCAAAAATACGATAGGCGTAGTAGAGGGTGCGAGTGATGTGGAAGGGAACAAAGCAGATTGCAAACACAACCAATACCACTATGATGAGTTTAATGGACTTCTTCCGGGATGAACTTTGTTGATTTTGGGCCAGGCCCTTTCGGGGTTGGCAAAGGGCCCGTGCCATTAAACAGTAGCAAACCACGATGACTAGAAATGGCAGAATAAAAAGCAACACCATTACCACAGAGTTGTAGGTTACGAAGTTGTGAAATTCTTCAGGGCGACTTGTGTCGTGACACAAAGTGCTATTTCCATTTCTAGAAGTATTGACTAAAATGAGCGTGGGCACCAGGCAGGCTATCACCGCTGTCCAGACAAAACCACAGACCATGTGTGCATGGCGTGGCTTTATTAAAGTCAGAGAACGAATAGGGTGACAGATGCCAAGGTAGCGATGCACACTGATGCAAGTGAGAAAAAGGATGCTGCAGTATAAGTTGGCATAAAAAAGAAACCGTACGATCTTACAGAGGACAACGCCAAAAGGCCAGTGGCTGCGGTTTGCATAGTAGTATATGAGCATAGGCAAGGAGAGCACATACAGCGTGTCTGACAGGGCCAGATGAAACATGTACACCGTACTGGGTTTCCAAGGCCTCATCTTAGTGATGAACATCCACAGAGCCACAGAGTTAAGGATTAGTCCGAAGAAACACACCAGGGAATATGAAACGGGCAGAAGAATATACTTGAACTCCTCATCGAAAGTACAGCTGAAGTTCACTTCCTTCGAAGACATCGGCATCAGTGAGTCGGAAGGAAGGGAAAAATTGCCTGAGACATTTTTCCTTAAATAATTCATTTCTCTGTTAAAAAAAATAACAAAATGTTTTAGCATACACTCTAAAAAACGCTGGGTTGGTTTTTTAACCCAAATGCTGGGTTGAGACTGCTGGGTAACAAAATTGGGTTGATTCAACCCAATTTGGGTTGAAAATCGATCTTTATCTATAACCCAGCAGTGCTGGGTTGGGAACGCGGACGTGAAAGAGAGCACGCACGTCACGTCAACATGCAGGGACATCAACGTGAGAAACCGCCATTTTCTTTGCGCTGTCTTTGAGGGGAAGCGAGTGAAATTCTGTGTGAGACGTAAGTTATTTAGTGTGTTTTTAACAATTTTCATAAGAAATAACACACTTAGTTTACTTAGTATAATATACACGCGCTTTTTTTTCTGTTTCTCCGCCTGATGGCCGACTTGTTGCTCCGCCTCACGCTGACCTGTGCTCGCCTTATGGCCGAACTGTTGCTCCGAGTCCGCCTGACGAGCCACCTGTTTCTCCGGATCTGTTTCTCCGCCTAACGGCGACGTGTTTCTCCGGACCTGTTTCTCCGCCTAACGGCGACCTGTTTCTCCGGACCTGTTTCTCCGCCTAACGCCCGAGCTGTTGCTCCGCCTAACTCCTGACCTGTGCTCGCCTCACGCCCGACATGTTGCTCCACCTCACGCCCAGCCTGTTGATCGGTGGACGGGTAAGCGCGCATGGCATCGGAAGGAGCTCGAAAAGTATAAGGTAACTAATGAAACTAACGTGAAGCATGTTTGATGACCACTTTATAAACACAACACCTAGGATAATTTAGGAGCTTTTTATTGTAATAAAATACCTTTTGAATGACACAGATTTTTATGTTGGCTAGGTGATGACAGTAAGTAACGTTACTGTGATTTGTGATCTTTCTGGGGTGTTAACTGTAAAGCAGTAAGTAGTATTTTTACTATTGTATTTCTTAAGTTTGTTCATGGATTTTTGTGACAATACTTTGATGCATAAGTGTTGAATTCAGCTTCTAACAATGTTTTTTTTTTAATCAAAATATATACAATAATTGTCCTGCTCTGCATGTACATTTTGTTTAGCTGTACATCTGTACATTGAATAGCAAATGTTATTAATTTACTATGAGCATTTTACATTCTAGACGTGATTTGAGCTATCTTTAATTAATCCTGTATGTAAGGGTCGTTTCATGCTAACGGAAATGTCTGAGCTAAGACTAATTCCAACCTAATCATCTTCGACTGCAAAAAGAAAAAGTTTGACCACCGTTTTATGTGACACCCTGGATAATTATTATCATTTAGGAGTATTTTTGTGATATAGTGACTTTTGGCTAACATGATCTTTTTTTACTTAATTTTGCTTAAACGCTTTTATCTGTTATTCTTTTTCAGATGGATAATTGCGTGAAAATCAAACTAAAAGAATGCAATCTTGAGGAGTTAATCCCCACATTTGAAGGTATGTAATAATATTTTACTTGGTTCATTGTAATCATTAGGGCTGCCCTTGTCTAAACATTTGTCTGGTTGACTTGTGATGTTCATTTGAAGCATTAGTTGAATAATTACAGATTTATTAATAAACCATTTATTCATTAATTCATTTTCTTTTTGACTCAGTCCCTTTATTAATCTGGGGTCGCCACAGCGGAATGAACCGCCAACTTATCCAGCATATTTTTTACACAGCGGATTCATGCAGCATACATTGACTTTGCCAGTGTGGACTTTTTTTCTGCAACTAGTGGGTAGCACATTCGCCTCATAGCAACAAGGTCACTTGATCGATCCTTGGCTGGGTCAATAGGCCTTTCTGTGTGGAGTTTGCATGTTCTCCCCGTGTTCGCGTGGGTTTCCTCCAGGTGCCCCGGTTTCCAAAGACGTGGTAAAGGTGAATTAAGTAGACTAAATTGTCAATGGTGTATGTGTGTGAATGAGTATTTGTTTCCCAGTGATGGGTTGCAGCTGAAAGGGCATTCGCTGCATAAAACTTATGCTGGATATGTTGGTGGTTCATTCCATTGTGGTTACCCCAGATTAATAAAGCGACAAAGCTAAAAAGAAAATGAATGAATGAATAATAAATTTTTAGTTGACTAATGGTTATTCAATTATTAGGGGGCAGCCCTAGTAATCATTAGCCACTTCAACACTTTAAACTGAGAGATTGAACTCTAATGCCAATTTGTTTTTGTCTGGTTATTTTTTAAAATCTGCTGTTCATGCAACCAGTGACATTCTCTTGTTTTATTTTTAGCACAGGAGCGAACCTTTCCTCGTTTTTAGGTCAATTTGAATACAATTCAGAGGGTAAGGATTCAATTAAAGGTTTCTCGATGCATAATGATGCATTTAATGCATAATGATTGTCTTAGTTATTTTATTAACAATGAAAATGTTATTTTTATGTTTGTTATTAGGGTGGCATGGGGGCGCAGTGGGTAGTGCTGTCGCATCACAGCAAGATGGTCGCTGGTTTGAGCCTTGGATGGGTTTCCCCTCCACAGTCCAATGACATGCGGTGTAGCTGAATTGGGTAAGCTGAATTGTCCATAGTGTGTGTGTAAATGAGAGTGTGATGGGTTGCAGTTGAAAGGGCATCTGCTGCGTAAAACATAAAAAGATGTCACCCAAGATGTTCATGTCATTCTTTCTTCAGTCAGAAAGATTTTTTTTTTAGGAAAATATTTCAGCAATTTTATCCATCTTGAACTGAGATTGTGCCTCATTTTTGAAGTTTTTAAAGAAAATTTAAATGCGGCTTCAAATTATACAAATACGGTTGCAAACAGTCCCAGCTCAGGAAGAAGGGTCTTATCTATTCTCATTAAGAAAACACAATTAAATACTTAATAATTTCAAATGCTCATCTTGCCTTACTATTACTTATTAAAAAAAGTTCCTTAGGCAAACCTGTTGTTGCATTGTCATCTTCACTCGGGCCAAAAAATTGCAGCATGGTGCCATGGTCAGTGGTTAACTAATGCCAACACTGGCTGATAGCTTGGTGTGTTATGGCCTTAATTGCTTCTAAAGGTATTTTAGGTGTTCCAAAGTTAACTCTAAAGATATTTAACTTTTACACTTTTGAGTTTTTAATAAATCTTACTTCTGTTTATTTTTTCAGATTGGGACCAATATTGCTGAGTATCTTCATCCATTGAATTCAAGAATCTATTGAGTTTCCTCATGTTCTCATCCTTGGAGACCACCACTTCTTTCAAGCCTTTGCTCACGTGCTGTGCTATTTATTATTGCAAAGTACATTACTTGCCAAAGTGGACGTTTGCTATAAAGCATTCTACATCTTTGGTGTGAACTACCCCAAGCAGTGTTCCCTGGTGTGGCAGACTGTGGTTTATGGACATCCTGGGGAGGAGACACTAGCAGTAAGGGTTCTGCTAGCATTAATTTTTGCTGACAAACAGTAATAATTAATACTGTGACCTCACTGCTTCCTTGGATTCTGTGTTCTTTAACTTGTACTTTGGATTGTGGGGGAAAAGGAGCACCCAGAGAAAACCCACACGAACACGGGGAAAACATGCAAACTCCACACAGAAACACCAACTGACCCAGCTGAGGCTTAAACCACCGACCTTGTTGCTGTGAGGCAATCGTACTACCCAGTGTGCCACCATGACACCCATTTCTAAAGAATAGTTTTAATAACTCATTTCTAATAACTGATTTCTTTTCTCTTTGCTATGATGACGGCACATAATAATGGACTCGATATTTTTTAAGACACTCTACACTGCAGTTACATTGCAACTAATGTTTCTTACAGACTCTTTTATATCTCAGGATTGATGTTTGCACATGATTGTTCGAGTAAAAGTTAAAAAAAGTTTTCCTATTTCAAATTTGTTTTAAAATGCTTCCATCCTCAGGTTTCATTTTAACTTTTATATCTGTTTTTTCTTCAAAACTGCATTTACATTGAACTTGATCATCCTTACTGATGATTGCTTTATAGCTCATATATTGATGTTTGCACATAATTGTTAAAGGGAAAGTTATAAAATGTTTTCTTATTTTTTCTTAATATAAAATTTGTATTTTCTTAGTTTTTATTGTTTGTTTTGTTTTTTCAAGCTGTTTGATGCCTTTTCATTATTACTTTCACATATTTTTTTCTGCATTGCAGTTGATGATTTATATGAGAATATGTTGATGTTTGTGCTCAAATTACTTTCTGACTTCAGTCATTTAGATGCATTTTCATTATTACTTCCTTATACTATTGTTTTTCTCTACTCTGCAATAACATTGCAATTGCCTTACTGATGATTCCTGATTTATAAATGATGCAAATGTTTTTGAATGTATTTCAAATATGCATTTTCTTAAGGTAATTTGTCTGATTTCAGTCTGATGCATTGTTACTGAACTTTAGTCAGTGTTTCTGTGATACAGTTTGATAAATTTTCACAGAAATCGTCTTAACCCTTTAACAACCCTTTCAAGAAAAAAAAAATTGGATTGCATTTCTCAACTGCTAATGTCGCTATTGAACACAATCAGTACATTTTAACACGTTATAATTTCTAAAATATCAACCTCTACCAAATGATTGATATGTATGTTTATGGTAAAAGTACCAGAATTATGAAAAATCTGAAAAATTATGTGTAAGACCAATTAAAAAAAAAAATATATATATATATATATATATATATATATATATATATATATATATATATATATATATATATATATATATATATTTAAAAGAAACATTTTGAACACTAAATCATCTTTTTTCTTATGACTTTAACAGTCATTATTTAAAACAGTAAAAACAAGGTCAACCATTTGGTAGAGCAGGCAGTCAAAGGGTTAATGCTGAGGTGCAGATGGGAAAAATCTCAAATTCATTTGGACACATTTTATCTTTTGTCATAAATAAAATTCCATTACTGAACAACTATGTATTGCTGTAGAATTGTTTTTATTTTAGTGATTTTAATCATCAGTTTCTAGATTAAATTTCTGACCCATTTTGGGTTACATTCAACCCAGCAGTGTAGTAATTTTTAACTAATAGTTGGGTTAAAATCACAACCCAGCATGCTGGGTTAAACTTGTAACCCAACTTGCTGGGTTAAAGTAACCCAGCGTTGGGTTTGTCCCTTTTTTACCCAGCGCTGGGTTACCAAAACAACCCAAATTGGGTTGTTTTCAACCCAGCAGTTTTTAGAGTGTATTTTATAAATAAACTCGGCTAAAAAGCAAACACAAACAGAAATCCACATTTTACAATGGCTATATTGGGAATTGTATTGGTTGCAATAGAAAATGAAATGGTGTCTACTGATAATTTGTTAACTTCTATTAGTGGCCTGTAAAAAACACTAAATACTAACATGAATATCCCAAAACATACTAGAAATCATTCAACTGAACTAGTTTTAATGGTTAAAATCTGATAGTTTGGGGTGGTTTGAATTTAAAAGGTAACGTTAGTTGAAACCATTAAAACTTGAGATGTTTATACTGTAAGTGTACTTTTCATCAGGGTTTCAACAAAGAAAATATGTGTCACAGTTATGACACAAACAATATAGTCAACATGAACTGCTGACTAAAGTGTCAACAAAGATGTCTTTTGTGTATTTGCAAGTTAGTTTTTAGCTCACTTAAGAGTTCATTTATGAAACAAAGGTCAAACTCATTATAAAAACACGAGGTAAACTCTTATCACATGAAATAATGTCCTGTCTGAGAACTATTACTGCTTTATAAACCGTTAAATATAGAAATATAACTTCAACGCACACCGCTTCACTAATTAGCATAACACGGGATGTAAAGCTTAAGAAAAAAGGAGAGAGCGGAGCACGCGGTATTATTTTTACGCACGGAAACTTACCGCTCACTCAGTCGAACGAGGTAAACACGTCCCTTTACAGATCAAAAAATAAATGTAGATCTTGACGTCTTATGGTTCAGAACTCATTCAGACAGTCGAAGAGACTTCCACATCCAGATTTACCGGATTGAGCGCGCACGAGCTGGTATGTTGAGCTAAAGTAGGTGAGCGCGTGAGCGGAGGGGCGGGGAGAACCAGCGCCAGTTTGAGTTTCTCCCTCGAGAAGGATAAATCAATCTTCACTGACAGGTATTGCTTAATTTGTCATCACTCAAATAGCAAAAAAAAAAAAAAAAAAAAAACACATCAAGCGACAAAATCAGTTTCATAAATGTTCGGTGTTTAAAGAGAGATTTAATTCCCTCCCTGGTTTCTGAGTTAAATTTTTTAAGGGTGAATCGTTTGATATCACCTCAGTGCCATATCACACTCTTATCGGTTTTTGCCATCTTTGCCCATCAAAGAGACAGTAATTACAAGTCGAAGCTCATCTCACCTGCACTTTAAACATTATACATTGGCTCTCATAAACGATACAGCCCAGATTTTATGATTAAATCATTTAAGGACACTTTAACTTCTCCTGCAAACACGGGGATGCTTTCTATCCGTTTCATGTAAGACATGCAAATTTAGCTTTGAAAAGTTTCCTGTCATTTTATTTCCGTTTCACGTTTGAGTAAACTTTAAAATATTAATGCCACACATTTGGCATTAATGGTAAGGTTCACCCAAAAATGACACGTCTGGCAACATTTACACACCTTTTAGTTGTTTCAAACCTTTATGGGTTTCTTTCTTCTGTTAATTGGACTTTTTCCTAGTCAATAGTTACAAATTTTCAGGTTTCTTCAGAAAATCTTCTTTCATTTTCAACTCAAGGCTATTTCTATTACTGCAGGTAAATAGAGTAAATTTAAGTAGCCTGCAGACGATCTAAACAAATACCTTTATTTAACCCCTAACAAGTGCCAAATAACTTACAACTAATGCTTTTGTTTTTTTTAAATAATTTTTTACAACGAATTGTGCCAAAAATAATGTAAGATTCTAAAAAAAATAAAAAAAAACAATATTTGTATTATTCAGAAACATAGTTAACTATGTGAATAATTTATACACTGTAAAAACAGTCAACTTTATCAAATGAAATGAGTGTAGTTAACTCAAAATTGACTGAAAGTTATTTCTACTTATTTGAAAAGAGTTTTGAACTCAGTGTTGAGGGTAATGAGTTAATTAAATATCTCATTACTTCAACTTAAATAGAGCACACAGTGCTCATATAGATTAGTTTTCTAACTAAAATGGTTTGTTTCAATCGGTTTCCTCAAACGGTTTAAGTTGCCTTTACTTATTAGGTTTTACAGTGCTCAGTTGGTTTGAGTTCTCTTCATTTATTGGGTTTTGCTGTGCTCAAAATGCTTATTTTACTTAAATGTATTAAGTTCACGGTACTCATTAGGATTAGATTTTGAACTTAAATGTTTTGTTGCAATCGGTTCCTCAAATGGTTTGAGTTGCCTTAACTTTTTGGGTTTACAGTGTAGGAGCTTCTGAGGAGAAACAGGAGAGCGTATGCATATTTGTTTAGACTAAAGTTAATATTTAGTGAAAAGTCAAAACCGTGCTATTTTGACCAGTAAGAGGCTGGTAGTTAGTAGAGTAGATCTCAAAAGATAATGCTTATTTCCTGAAACTAATCCATACAGCTGATCATATACAGTCAGAAATTAAAATAGGCTAACACATATATATGTCAGACTACTCATGCTGTTGAGTAAATAACATGATCCGTGTTTGGCCAGGGTAGACACAAAAAGCTAAATGAACAGGGCAAAAGGTTAGTGCAAGAAAGACTTTTATCTGCTTGTGATCAGTTTGAGTGCCATAATACAGTGCATGACTGTCTCCAAGTTAAAGTTCACATTGAATATTCACACAATGCTTTTATGATGTTGGCTGCAGTAATAAACTGCGTAGTTTAAGGTTGAATAATCTGTCAAATAGTTTACAAATTCATTTGACTTACAGTCTTAGTATATTGCTGACACTTGGGATATAATAAACTTTTCTTAATTACAAATTAAATTATGCTTCATGAATTAAAAAAAAACAGGATGTGTGAATGTTGGAGTAATTAGTGTGCATTCTCAGTATGGTTAAAAACCCACTTCCTTTGCAGTACTGACCTGATGGTTAGTTATGGGGAAAGTACATAAACTGGACAGGAATGTAAGTGGGTCAGTGACTCAGTAGTGTGATGTGAATATACAGGGGCTAGTTAGTTTTCACTCTTCATATCTGGCCTACATAATAATCTACTGCCTGACAGGTGAAGACAAGAAAGCTAGCGCACAAAACACACCTTACTCTCCACCCGCATCCATTTGCACCATGACCAAGCAGATAGATAGTAAGAACGAAGAACAGCCACAAACTACTGTACCAATAAAACAGACAATTTTTGAGAGAGTGGAATGATAGTTTCATTGTGAATTTGTGATAAGCTATCATTAAGATGACATAACAGCAACACACAATGATCTGCTGTGAACTTATGCTGATCTGATCAGATTTTTTGTCTTTTGGATTTATGCATTTATGCAAGACATAAGGATATATTGTCATTGTAAACAGCCCGAAGTCATTGTTTCTTTTAATATATATGTCTGAGAGTCAACTCTATCCCAATGCAAATACTGCGCTCAAAGATCACGCTTTTGTACAAACATCCTTCTGTACAATATTTGCTCAAGTTTAAAGATATTGACTCTGGATAGTAATATTTGCTTGAGATAAAAATGACCCTTTAATCACTTTGTAAAACCATAGTCTAAACAGAATATCATGTCATTTATCAAATTGAAAATGTAGGAATTAAGATTGCTCCAATCGATCGACTGGAGATCGGTATCGGCCGATAATCACATTTTATGACATGTCAATCTCATAAACCGATTGCATGCTTTTTGAATTAGATAAAATACGCTGGATATCATGGAAATGGGAGTGAATTAGCATGTATTTAGGCCCTTTTACATACATAAAAACGGAAAGTTCTGTGTTTTTGACTATTTTATCTATTATTTTCTGTGAAGCTGCTTGTGAACATGACATGTCCACACTAAATGGTTATTATAAGAGACATGTTTAAGGAATTATATGAAACATCCTTCATTTATTCTCTTAGGTAAGGAGAGATCTCCACTTAAGTGTCATACTTAAAGGAAAAATGTGCTTAATGCATTATAAAGCTTGAAGCATCAGAATCTGTGCTCGGTATCGGCCAATACCCGTGACAAGGAATCAGTACTCTGCATCTGCTGCGAAAATCCTCATCGGAGTATCCCTAGTACAAAAGCATGTATAAAGCACTATTTGTCTACTACAGGATCTAAACTCCAGGATTTGGCAGACTATGGGGCTGAGGAAGTGGGAGAATTCACTTAACATCAAATTAAAATCGTAGAGCCTGGTTAGTTGGCCTTGACAGATTTATAGGAAAAAAAAACTAATAGAAAGACATTTTAAAGTCTATATTAAATGTCTGTGGAAAATCAGGTGCAATGCTTTTTCTGTTACCTGTTATTGTTGGGAACTTCTTCGATATGGCCATTGATTTAAACATCCATTTGCTTATCTCTCCTTGTGGAAGGGATAAGAGCTTTACTGCAATAAAACTGGTGATATTAATAATAAAACAACATATTCCTCTTAAATTGACCAGCTGACATTTTTGTTTATGCACATTTAAAAGGTTACATATGGCTATTGGTCACCTATTAATAAATACTGTGAGTACGTTGAAACAGGGACTCAGACAAGATGTAAAAAGTGACCAAACAATGTATTGAAGCAGAACCAAAATTTCATGAGGCATTGTTCGAGTTGTGCTTTTATATACACAGTATCTAAGTAAAAGCATTAGGATGTTCAACACTGACAGGAGAATGAAAGACTGTGTTCTGTTTGTTTGGATTGTTAAAAGCAAGTATTAGACTGTAGTTTACTCCACACTGTATGTTTAGGACCACAGGGACAGTGGAGTTGGCATGTTAAACTTTATTCTGAATGGAATTTAAACTTGGGAAGGTAAAAAATTGTGTATCAGGAATACAAATATCAATCTAATCATACATAGTCTCCCGATAAGACACCAGATAGTCTCTTTGTGTTCAGTCCCAGATCTTGGGAAGGTTTTCCAAGATTCTTCGTCGATGAGATGGGTTAGACACACCAGCTGCACACAGCTCCTCCTCTGTAATACCACTGCAAGAGAACAGAACACACTGATGGGAATGTATTTACTGTATGTTCACCAAGCACCATCACTGCTAGAAGATAATAATTGAAGCACATGGCAGTGTCCGATTTTTATTTATTTTTTTGCTATATCACAACCTCACCTGAAATAATCAAGATCATCCCATCCACTGCGGCTGAGGTCTAGTGTGTACCGCTGCAATCCCAGAGTGCTGAGCAGCTCTCGCACTGTTTCTGGGGCTCCGTGTAAGACTGACACCTGCAAATGTACAGTTGATGTCATAACTATTAGCCACAATTATTCTTTTTAAAATTTTTCTCAAATAATGTATAACAGAGCAAGGAATTTTTCATATAATTCCTATATTTTTTCTTCTGGAGAAAGTCTTATTTGTTTTATTTCGGCTAGAATAAAAGCAGCTTTTTTAACCAGTTAAGGGTCAAAAATATTAGCCCCCTTAAAGGTGCAGTAGGTGATTGCCTTTAGACACATTTTATGTTGTGCTGGTTGAATGTCTCCTCACATTCCAATAGTACTGATTAAAGTAAATGATCCAAATGTATTTACATGTATTTTTGTATTCTGGGTAAGGCATGGGACTAAAAAAATTACAGGTTGAAAATTACGAGAGGTAGCCCAAAACGTCTCTTAACAAATGTAGATTTGCATATTTGTGCACCCTGTTCACACAGACAGATCCACCATTTGCAGCAGCATTGACCTGCAGCTGACAGAGAGAGTGACAGCAGGCAAATTCAGGATCAACTTCTAAAAGACCAACATTTCCTTGTATCCATTAAAAAAAAAATGCTGAATAAAAACTTTTTAAAATCCTGAATCAATATCGGTAGTTGCTTTTGGATGCTGGAGGGAAATACACTGTTCAAAACCACAATCTGAAGGATGATACCATGTTTGCAGTATTTCTTTTAGACAGGTATTTTCATGTTTTAAAACTATTTTAGTTAAGCAAAGCTTATGTAGATTCTCTTGAAAATGAAAACGTGGTAGGTATAATATAGATATAATACAGTTTTTCAAAAAGGTTTTTACATTTATAACTGTATAAAATACTAGAAAGTTTTCTTACTGGCAAATGACATAACCATGTAGTATAAGGTCGTCTATGGTCATCTATTTGGGGCATGTTCATGACTTCAGGAGGCATGGATTTGGACAGCAGAGAGGGACTTCAATTTTCAATGCTATTATGCTATGTTAGCATTATCAGAGTACTCCTACGGCACTTTTAAGCAATATTTTTTTCGATTGTCTACAGAACAAACCACTGTTATACAACGACTTGTCTAATTACCCTAAGTAGCTTAATTAACCTAGTTAAAGGTTCAAGACACGCTAGAGTACTTTGTTGAAATTTTAACAGATTTGTGTGTGTTGAGCATCAGTTAAGTCAACATTAGCATCAGTCAGCTTTAATTGTGGAGAAAACTGGATAAGTTTGAGCTTTTGTCAGCTAAGTTCCAGGTTTGGAATCATTTTTAGGACGGGATCGAAATCGTTAACGTCGTGCGCATTCGCTAGTGAAATGATGACGCATCGGTTTCTCTTTATTATTCATGGTGGAGTTTTTTTATCCTATGAGAAGACTGTGCTTCTTAATTATTAATGAGAGCGCGTGCTTTCCGAAGGTAAGGCAGACCTGACAAGCTTTGAGACGCAATGACTGGGTGAGACCATGCCCATGCACAGAAAGCAGTATTTAGCCGTTCATGAAGGTTCATCAAGGAATGTTATGTATTTGTTTCCATGATCCATGGGGTTTGTTGCATGTTTTTCTCTACGATGCTGTCTAGGTCGATAAAGCAAATCTGTTGGTTTGCAGCAAGCATTTTTGTTGTGAGAGCTGTACGAGAATTAAGAATGGTGTACTTTATCTGTTGCGTTCATTACCCTTCAGACACATGGCCTTTATCTGTGCTGCTGTGTTCGCCATATGTTTAAAATCCTCTGGATTACCGGCAGGGTTAATGGTTGGAATGTACTGGGAAAGAGACTTGCTGCACTGCTATCCACTGTGTCAGCTTTCAGACCTTAGGATTTAGGAGGAAAGAAGTCCTCCTCATTTATATTGTTATTTGATTATCTTTATAATCATATAACAAATTGGGGTTATGTGTATATGAAATTCCAAATAACAAATGTAGCAGGGCATTAAATTACTGATTGTTTCTTTGTATTAAACTTTGTAAATTATAAAGTCATGGGTCTCCTCACGCTTTGTGTCTCACTTTGTGAGCCAACTGACAACAGCTGTTCGCTCCCACTTTTTTCCCTGCTCTGCCGGCCACGACAACTCCTCCCTCTACTCACAGAGCTCCACGCCCATTATGAAGCATTTTTTGAAAAAATTCTGAGGTAGACTTGAACCAAAAAAGTGGGGTTTCATGGCCCTTCAAGCCTTTATATACTTTTATCACTAGTATATTTGAAAAATATCTATTAAAATATTATGTACTGCAATCATGGCGAGATGAACATTACCCAACTCACCTCTTTCTCCCAACTGTAGTTTCTCTCACTAGCTAAGCCATAATCATACCCATGCTGCCTTTGTTGAGACGGCATTTGATGAAAGGGATACTTTTTGTCTGCTGGCTGAAAGTCCACCTCACTGAGTGATTTAGCAATCTGGAGGGCTGTGAGTGAGTTGTCTCCTGAAGCTGGAGTGGGCTGCTCTACTATCCAGGAAGCTGAAGACTGGGCAGGAACTCTAGTGGACACATAAGGATACAGCTTTGGTCCATTTCGGATTGGCACAGGCCGACCTTGGTGCACCCCTTGATAGTCTTGTCTGACTTTTTCTTTATGCATGTCTCTAGAAAAAACTGAATGGTTCATATATGAGTTTGTAAGTTTTTTGCCTGATAATTCTGAATCCGGTGCCATATTGTTCTTATGGGACTGTAGCTGTAAAGATGAATTTGAGGAATGTGTGGTGTGTCTTTGGTTTGGGGATGTACTAGGGACATGTGGACCCGGAAAAAGCTGATAAGAGGATGCAGTCGATGAAAGTTCACTCTGAGTCTCGCAAGATGGTTTATAGGGTGCTAAGGAGCCAGGAATCTCGATTTCGGTGAAGTCGGACCTCCTAGCAGACCTTTTGCCATGGCCGTGGCTTCCAGTCACTCTAGGCAGCTGTATCACAGTGTTATTAGCACATACTACTTGGGATTCTTTAATAGTTGAAGGAATCTCTTCGGCTTTCCGAAACACAGGCATTTCCTCAAAGATGAAGTATGCAGGATTGGTGTAGCTGTTTGGAGATGCCACATATGAGGCTGACGGTGCTCTATAGTGCAATGATGAAAAGTAAATCAGGGTGACATTTAATAAAAAAACCAAACAGTGATTACCATAACAAAAAACCCTATTTATTAGCTTTGTGCTGCTAGTCACTTACTTGATAGAGAATGCACTGGAAGAAGGGGGAGACAGTTGGTCCTTCATCATTTCCCTCTCATCCTTCTCAATGCTGAGCCACTCTGTAATGTGCACAAGAAATGCCTTGCGTCAAACTGTGTTAATACTGCAGACATATGTGGTAATGCCACTGTTCATTCAGTGAGCAGCATGGTGAGTGTCATATTTCAGTGAGGTTTCAGGATGCATCTGGACAACATCAGGCAACTGCACGCCAAAAGAGGAAGAAATGGTAGATAGAAAAGTGAAAACAGAGCCAAAGCAGAGGAGGAACTAAAACTAAAAGAAATGTAGGGTGGGTGAGTGTCTATGGTACATTTGCAGAAACGATATAGTAAAAGCACGGATAACCCACCATAGACTCTTTCCCGGATCCTTCGGCGGTCTGGTGGTACATATACTCTGAATCGACCTCGAATAGAGCCCATCTCTTCACCTCTGTGGGTCAAGCATGTCTCAAATGTGTCCAATAATTTCCCTGCTGTTGGGCGAAGAGCCACACAGCACTCCCCTAAAATGTTAAAGAAAGTGCTCTCAAATCACCTGAATTAAACTGTTTGCTGTGTTATGCTCTTGGTTATGAGGTAAATGTTTCTAAAAACCAAACAACTGTTTCAGAGGAATTTCTTTCAGAAAGACATTATGACCATGTACCATATGACTCAAAGCCATCACATGACTTCACAGACAACAGCAAGTGCTGATCCCGCAGATGCTCTAAATCCAAGAACACTGGGTGAAGCTGTAAAAAAATAAGGAAAAACAAATAAGAAATCCTCATTAAGAAGCATAGTTAAAATGAACAGAAGGTGATCTCGGACTCAACCTTGGGCAACTGTTTTGAAGACCAACCAAGTTTGAGAAACCCTGGCACCTCACAGTACTGGGAGTCATTTTCAGCTGATCGACGAGGCTCTACAAAGAAGAAACATGATGGTGACAAAAAGAGCTGTCACATATATCTCATGACATACAGATGTTTCAAAAGAAAACCAGACAAGCAACATACCATTGCATGCTCACTCTCCTCACTGATTATAGCAAAAAACATACCTTCCAGACAGCGGGAGTGGAACTCGATGAAAAACTTGGCCTTGCTAGAAGTTTTCACTATAGCCTCAATCGCCTCCAGTTCAATGCTGGCTCTCTCTGAACAGGACTCTGGAAAAGAGTATATATATATATATACAAATATATATATATATATATATATATATATATATATATATATATATATATATATATATATATATATATATGGTCAAGATCATCACATGCATAGTAGCAACTAGTGCTCTCCAGTGTCAACAGCATTTACCATGCACTCATGCCTTATGTTACATGGAAAGTATAAGTACTGTTGCTGAACACGGATTACAAATATAATTTATAATTCAGTCCACCCAAAAAAGTCAACTCTATCACTATTTATTCACCCTTATGGTTAAATAAAAGATAAAACATTTATTTTTTCCATTGCAAGTCAGTTCAACCAAAACGTTGACCCATCAAAAAGTACATTTATAGATTAATCAAGCAGTTTAATCAATTCATTCATTCAGTCATTCATTTTCCTTTGGCTTAGTCCCTTTACTCATCAGGGGTCGCCACAGCGGAATGAACCACCAGCATATGTTTTACACAGCGGATGCCCTTCCAGCTGCAACCCTATACTGGGAAACACCCATATAATCTTACATGCAGCACATACACTACGGCCAATTTCAGTTTATTCAATTCACATATAACGCATGTCTTTGGACTGTGGGGGAAACCAGAGCACCATGAGGAAACCCACGCAAACACAGGGAGAACATGCAAACTCCACACAGAAATGCCAACTGGCTCACCTGGGGCTTGAACCAGCGACCTTAATGATGTTAGGCGACAGTGCTATCCACTAAGCCACCGTGATGCCTGTTTAATTCATTTTATGAAAGAAAACATCACATATGTAATTTTGGCTTTAAGGGATGGTTTACCCAAAAATGACAATTTCGCCACTATTTAATCATGCTCAAGTGATTCTAAACACAACACAAGATATTCTGAAGAATGTTGGACACTCACAGTTGGAAAAAAAGATGCCTATGGCAGTCAATGGCTGCTTCTTTCCAGCTTTATTCAAAATATCTTACTTTGTGTTCAACAGAAGATAAAAAGTGGAGGGTGAGTGATGATGAGAGAATTCAAATGCTGGGGTGAACTATTACTTTAATTTACATTTATTCACTGACACTTATCAAAAAGACTTGGAATGACATGAGTATGAGTTAATGATGACACAATGTTCATTTAAAAAAAATTTGTGCGCTCTCCCTTAATGAATGACCTTTAGGGCCTTCACATGTTGATGCAGTGGAAACAGGCTTGATATTAGTGGCAAAAGGAAATGGTTGTTCCTTAACAAAATGCTTGTTTAGCAACTCCTAATATAACTCAAGTTATGAAATGATCTAAAGGGCAAAAACTTCAGATTCAAAGTCACAGGCAGATTCCCATACCAGTTCTGGGAAACTGTGATATGACACCCACTTCAAAGGTTGCAAACACAGGAGAGTGCTCACTGGTGAAGATGTCATCTGTACACCCTGAAGAACAGAACCAAAAGAAAAATGACATTTAATATAATATAAATAAAAAGACTTATACATACACTCACCGGCCACTTTATTAGGCACACCTTACTAGTACTGGGTTGGACCCCCTTTTGCCTTCAGATCTGCCCTAATCCTTTGTGGCTTAGATTCAACAAGGTACTGGAAATATTCCTCAGAGATGTTGGTCCCTATTGACATGATAGCATCACAAAGTTGCTGCAGATTTGTTGGCTGCACATCCATGTTGCAAATCTCTTATTCCACTACATCCCGAGGGTGCTCTATTGGATTGAGATATGGTGACTGTGGAGGCCATTTGAGTAAAGTGGATTCATTGTCATGTTCAAAAAACAAGTCTGAGATGATTAGAATTTTATGACATGACACGTTATCCTGCTGGAAGTAGCCATCAGAAGATGGGTACACTGTGGTTATAAAGTAATGGACATGGTCAGCAACAATATAGGCTGTGGTGTTGACACGATGCTCAGTTGGTTCTAATGGGCCCAAAGTGTGCCAGGAAAATATGCCCCACACCATTACAACACCACCAGCCCGAACCATAGATACAAGACAGGATGAATTCATGTTGATGCCAAATTCTGACCCGAATGTCACAACAGAAATTGAGACTCACCAGACCAGGCAATGTTTTTCCAATCTTCTATTGTCCAAATTTGGTGAGCTTGTGTGAATTGTAGCCTCAGTTTCCTGTTCTTAGCTGACAGGAGTGGCACCCGGTGTGGTCTTCTGCAGCTGTAGCCCATCTGTCTCAAGGTTCAGAGATGCTCTTCTGCATACCTCAGTTGTAATGAGTGGTTATTTGAGTTACTGTTGCCTTTCTATCAGCTGGAACCAGTCTGGTCATTCTCCTCTGACCTCTGGCATCAACAAGGCATTTGTGCCCACAGAACTGCTGCTCACTGGATATTTTCTCTTTTTCAGACCATTCTCTGTAAACCCTAGAGATGGTTGTGCATGAAAATCACAGTAGATCAGCAGTTTCTGAAATACTCAGACCAGCTTGTGTGGCACCAATAACCATGCCATGTTTAAAGTCAGTTAAATCACCTTTGTTCCCCATTCTGACGCAGATCATCTTGACCATGTCTACATGCCTAAATGCATTGAGTTGCAGCCATGTGATTGGCTGATTAGAATGTTGCATTAACGAGCAGTTGGACAGGTGTTCCTTATAAAGTGACCAGTGAGTGTATATGTTTCAGAGATTTCAGTCTGATTTTAATGAGCAAGCAAAACAGAAGCTTACTCTTTGTGACACCTATTTCCTGTTGTTGTTTTTAGGTTTTTTGTTTATCTTCTGTATTCTCCTCTTATCATCAATACTTTCATGCTTTTACTGTATCCAATCTATTCTTATCGCTTTAAGTAGTATAGACATGCTGTAGTTTGAGTGCAAGCACACAATAAATGCTCTTAATTTTCAAACATCCATTACATACTAGGCCAAAATAATTAAACATCAGATTCCCATCCAACTAATTTCTGCCATTTAGTTACAGACTAAATAGTTCATTTAGTTTATGATTTGAGATGGTTTTGAAATACAAAATGTGATCATGTACACTGGCACAATATATGTTGGCTGCCTTCGCTGAGGAGGCCGAATTCACATGTTTTTAAAGCACACAGACAGACAGGATATGACTCTGATTGTGGACCACAGACCTACAATTGTACCCAAAGTAAATCTTTGTAGTGCAGTGTAGCTACACATCTCATTCCAAAATACTACATAAATAGCAGGCAAGTGTTTTTTCTGCCCTCAAGCTAAAGTTCAAACCATCGAAGGAGTTTGTCGAGCTACTGTAAGAGAGTAATTCACAACACAACTACAACATGTTATGATATTACTTGGACTACAAGTGGAGACAAAATGTGAAGGAATTTTAGTTGCGAATTTATTATTAATTTCATGCTGGTTGAATAGTGTTTTACAAAATGCCAAGACACTTTAACCAAAGATAATTATTTCCTTGAAAAAGATAATCAAAATTAGAGTGACAATGGTTGTGGCTTGAAAAAATACTATGACTAAAAAGCAACAAGGTATTAACAGTCTCACAGGAGAAATTGTTGCCAAAGATTTTCCATAGATTTTCAATCAGGTTTAGATCAGGACTCTGGGCAGCCATTTTATTATCTCACTGATTTCAGTTTTAGGGCTGTACTTATTTTGCTGTTTGAAGAGGCTCATAGTCCTGAATGAAAACTGCTGGCTGATTGAGAGATGAATGCGAGTAAAAAAAACTGCATGTTGCAAATGAAGCTCCTGATAAACATTTGCATTTGCTCCGGTATGTCACTGTAAATGATGCCCACTGACTTCTTTACATATTTCAAGTTCAGTCATTCCCCAGTTTGACAAAGAATATAATGTTTCCCAACAGACCCAAATAAATTAAACTTGCTTTCCATCACCAAAGTGAGCTCTACAACAGTCAGGACACCATACATTAAAAAAAAATCTTTAAACGGTTCAACACTAAACTGTTCAACAAATACAGCTGCAGACTTGAATTAATTACCCACTGAAATCTTCTGAATTATCCTGTCCTGTGTTTTTAAATTTTGATCAGTGTTCTTTTTCAAATATCTCATTTAAGTGTTTAAACTGTGCTATAGAATATATGTAACTTATGAAATCTGCTTAATAGATTCTAATGGGACTAGTAACACCCCCCAAAAATACTTTTGCTTAAGCTACTTGTTTAAAATGAGTTAAAAACAATGAGTTAAAAACAACACAATTCTTATCAGTTTTTTAGGACAACTTAGTATTAGGTTCACTTAATTGATTTGTGTTTGGACAACATGAAGGAATTGTGTGGAACCCAGCATTTTTACAGTATACTAAGCAATGAGCTCCAAATTTTTAAGTTTGTAGATTGTCCTATATTTATACATTCATTCACTAAAGAAAATAATAAATGACAGAAACAGGAAGCATATACCATATGAGGTGCAGATTACGTGAGACTCTGGGTAGGACTTCCACAAAACTCTGTCACACCATGAGGGCCCATTCACTTGCACCTAAAGAAGGTTTAAATAAGATAGAATAAGAAAAATAAGAACATTACTACATATGATTCTCTATTATCATCACACATAATTATTTCACCCATTCTGATATATATATATATACAGTTAGGTCCATAATTATTGGGACAGAGAAACAATTTTAACATTTATGGCTCCATACACCAACACAATGGATTTGAAATGAAACGATCAACATGTGCTTTAAATGCAGACAGTCAGTTTTAATTTAAGGGTATTTACATCCAAATAAGATGAATGCTGTAGTAATTACAATCATTTGCATATGCGTCTCCCACTTGTTAAGGGTCCAAAAGTAACGACAATTGGCTTCTAAGCAGTTCCTTAGCCAGGTCCCAATTACAACGGGTACCAGAGTGATAGAGAAGAGAATGAAAATGGAAAGGAACCGTTCATGATCCTAAGCAGTGAAGCATGGTGGTAGAAGTGACATGGCGTGGGCATGTATGGCTGTCAATGGAACTGGTTCTCTTGTATTTATTGATGATGTAACTGCTGACAAAAGCAGCAGGATGAATTCTGAAATGTTTCAGGCAATATTTTCTGCTCATATTAAGCCAAATGCTTCACAGTGTAGATGGAGAATGACCATAAGTATACTGTAAAAGCAACCAAAGAGTTTTAGAAGATTAAAAAAGAAGTGGAATGTTACGCAATGGCCAAGTCAATCACCTGATCTGAATCCGATTGAGCATGTATTTCACCTGCTAAAAACAAAACTGAAGGTAAAATGCCCCAAGAACAAGCAGAAACTCAAGACAGTTGCTGTAGAGGCCTGGCAGAGCACCACCAAAAATAAACAAGAATAAAACCCAGTCTGGTGATGTCTATGCGTTGCAGACGTTAGGCTGTAATTGACTGCAGAGGATTTGCAACCCAGTATTATAAAGTGAATTTTTGATGTATTATTATTCTGTCTAATTACTTTTGGACCCTTAACAAGTGGGAGGCACATATGCAAACTGCTGTAATTCCTTCTTTATTCACTTGATTTGGATGTAAACACCCTCAAATTAAAGGTGCAGGTAAAGCACATCTTTGTTTTATTTAAAATCCATCCATTGTACAGCCCCAAAAATTTTTGAATTGTGTCAATATCCAAATATTCATGGACCTAACTGTATATGTCAAATATGCTTTTTTTAAGTAATGTAACAACAGAAGCTGCAAGAAGAGACAGAATTAATAATAAAATATATAACTCTCACCCCACTGGACTTGTATTTCTGCCATAGATAACAGTCTCTAGAACCACGTTCATATCGATAGGTGGGAGGAAACATGATCTTCTCCTCCTCTTAACAGCGAAAACAAGAACAAAGTGTATGTTAATGCTTTTTTTGTCCCACATGTTGCTGTTTAACCCTATATATTGATTTCATATGTGTGTGTGGTGATCGTGGGAGTTGAAGAGCAGCTGCCATTCTTACTAAAGTTAAAAAAGGCCTTTCTTTTGTGCCGCTCTCTGGTCAATTGGTCTGCGCACATCAGCTCCTCGAATTCTCGCTTTGAAACATGCTTCAATATGTCCTGCAGAAAGAGAGACCTTTGTCAGAGACAGGAGACCTTCAACATATGATATAAGTGAGCACAACAGAACAGCTCAGATGATTCAGTGCGTTTAATGGGGTCAATGTTTAAATGCATGGTCAATAAAAAGCAGTGAGTAAAGCTAGAGTGATTAATTTATTGACAGAAATGAGGCAGATATAAGCTGTATGACCAGTGCATCCAGGTCCAGGCGATAGTTGAGGTCTCCACACCAAAAGAGATGATTGAAGCGAAGGCTTATGTCGAAAGTGCTGAGCTGCTTTTCTCCAAGAGACAAGAGTCTAAGGATGTCTTGGAAGTTGTGGTTTCTCCTAAGACAAAGAAAGAGGAGCAATGCAAAATAGTATTTAGTGATCACCAAGGCTACACTTATTTGATTAAAGACATGTTAAAACGGAACATGTCCTAAAATATTTTGAAATGTAACTAGTTTGCATCCCATGTTTGCATAGTACACTTTCAGTGGCATTACTCCAGTTTTCAGTGTAGCATAATCATTTAGAAATCATGCTAATATGCTCATTTTAATATACAGTTTATATTAGTGTTTAGTAACAAAGTATTTTTTGTTGAAACTAATACATTTCTAGATTGGAAGTCCACTTTACCACCTACTTTTCATAAATGGCTAACTGAAATGGTTGCTGCTCTTAAGCTTGAAAGAACTCGTTTTGCTAGGGCAGATACTTTATTCTCTATTTCTACCTGGGGATACTCATTCTGAAGTCCCTAGAGACTATGCAGCGCCATTGATGCGATCCAGGACCTGTGAAAAGATGATCCCTAGGTATCCACAATCCTGGACCAGGCCGTATCCCGAGCTGATGCTGTGATCGTCATGGAAGAATTGAGTACATGATTCCTGAAACACCACTATGACAACAAGTCCCTGTGTTGATCCTGTGGGCAAGCCTGACCTCCCGCCGGTCCCCTACTCACACCTGCAGCTCCTCCATGATGGACGTCCAGCTTCTCCAGCCTCCAGTGCCTAGACTGCAGCTCCACAAAGGAAGTTAAGCCAGAAGAATAATGGTCGTGCCCAACAGAGCCTGGTTTCCCTTGAGTTTTTTTTTTCCTACACTTCGTCAATTGGTGAAGTTTTTTTTATCCTCGCCACTGTTACCACTGGCTTGCTTGCATTGGGATTTGTGGAGCTGAGCTTCAGTGGATTTGCTCTTTAGTGTTTGAACTTTCAGCAGTGAAATTTATACCACACTGAACTGAACTAAACTAAACTCCAACTCTGAAATCTGGACTTCTAGTAGGACTGGACTACTAGAACTATGTTAAGCTGCTTTGACACAATCTATATTGTGAAATGTTCTATATAAATAAAGATGAATTACACTGAATGCTTCTAAAAAGTTTGAAAAAAAATCTATGGCCTCTTCCTTGCGTATCTTTTTATGACTTAAAAGTAGGGCACTTATGATTCATGAACAATTTTACTCTTACTTTTCCACTCCATTTTCAATGTTTTGAGTTGGATAAAGTAAATTATGTTTATTATTTACTCTATATGGTGCATGTTTGGATGGACTGGTGCTTGTTTTATTTTTTTATTTTTATTATTATTACTTTGTTTTTGTTTTTTATTGTTTTTTTTATTAATTCACTTATTTATTTTTTCTGTATTTTTTCCTTATCATTTGCGTAAAACTTATAATAGATTTTATATGTTTTTGTTCTGTTTTTTACTTATAAAAAACTTATAAATAATCACATTATAACCTTAAAAAATATAACGTTTTTTTTATCTTAAGTTAAAAATAAGATTTGATTTATATTTTCTGGAAAAATTTCTGTAAAGTTATAAATATTTACTGTCACCTTTGATCAAATTAATGTGTCCTTGTTGAATAAATTTGGTTAAATAATTACATTTTGTAAAACAAACCCAGTGGGCGCACTGGGTAGCTGCTGCTTAAAAAAACATGTGCTGGATAAGTTGGCCGTTCATTCCGCTGTGGCGACCTTTGATTGATATAGGGACGAAGCCGAAAAGAAAATGAATGAACGAATTAATGAAACAATGAAATCTAATAACATGATAGCACTTTACAATAAGGTTTCAATAGATAATGTATCTACTAACATATACAAGCAATGAACAAAACATTTATTACAATATTATTCATCTTCTTTAAAGTTGATAATGTTAAAAGATGTTAACTCAGAGTGTATAAACTATTATTAAAAAAATAAATAATGCATTAGTAAATGTTGAACTATGATTAATAAATACTGTACAAGTAGTGTTCATTATTAGTTCATGTTATTAAACACACTAACATTAGCTGATAGAACCTTATTGTAAAGTGTGAGTAATAAAACACCTCTTTCAGGTCTTGTACAACAGTGTTCTCAAAAGTTTTCATTGTGGTCTGCATTTTTTTGGCCCTAAATAAACCTAAATATACAAGAACTTTTATTAATAAACTGAATCATCAACTCATCAATTAATTAACTGATTGTGTTAATACCAAAGTATTTCTGGGATCTCAGATTTGGACTTTTTATCAAGCAAACAAATATTATAGCTCAGTAAAAATGAGGTTATTTCAAAAGATTAAGTATAAACTAAACGCATAATGGTGGCAAAGGTCTGATTTCACAGAAAATCATAGTGTTTAATAGGCACAAACTCTGATTTTCTTTTGCATCAGACATTTATTCCATCTGAGAATATCAGACATGCTTTATGTTTAAATCTGATTTTACAAGACATTGTTCTAAGTTTGTCATCCATCTCCAAAAAAATGAGGTATGTGTGTTTATTGTGCTCATAACAATTTGAACATCTTGAACATCTTAGAAAGTCGACAAGTGTGCGATTCCTAGAGCTTTACAAAGACATTTTTTTAAAAGCTATATAAACTATTCCAGGCTTAAGAATGATATTTACACTACTTTTTGTGTAGGGCTGTTAGCAGTCAGCATTGTATTATTTTTAATAGTTGAAGAGTTCTTTAAAAGATTGAGATCCTCTCTATAAAGACGTGTGTAAATACCTCAGTGCTTTATCACTTCCAGATGTCAAATGGCAGTTCACAAAGCCCATTGATGTGCCATTAAAGAGAAGAGAAACTCCTACTGCTCCCTTATTTCCTGTAACCACCGAGACAAAAATCAATGAATCTGGTCTAAAATAATATGACTGATTTATCACTGTTTATTAAGCTTAACTACAAGCCATTGATTTAAGACAGATAAAAAAGGATACAAAAAGGGAGAGTTAGCTAGCATGTTTGTTCAAGAAAGAGAGATTTTTTACCAAGTGTGTTCCCCAGGCCAGTTTTTACACTCGCTGTGTTTACTTGACTGATGCGCGCTTCATGCTCCGGCTTCACAAACACAGCCAGTCTGATGTTCCAAAGGGATTGTACTGCCACCTACCGGAGAAACACAAAACGCACACAACCCACACTCCTTTTATAAGAAGCAAGCTAGTTTCCCGTTTCAGCTAGTTTCCTCTGTTTGACTTAGAAGAAGATATTTTGAGAAATGTTGGAAACTTGTAGCTATTGACATCTGTGGTATGAAAAATACTATGGATTATTGGTTACTTACAACATTCCTCAAAATAACTTCGTTTGTGTCAAACAGAGGAAACTATCTTAAAATTGGAAACTCAAGAAACATGCTTGGAAACATATGAAGATGAAGTATGTTTTTATTTGTGAATGAACCGTCATGTTATGATAGCTAATCACTTTAAAATGTGAGGAAACTGTAAGGATTGTGACTTTCTGAGGTCAGACCTGTTTGTAATCGATGTTGGTTGAAGTGCGCAGTGTGGCTCTGATGTGTTCAGCCCACTCTCTCTCTCCCTGCGGGTTGTCCTGAGTGCCCACTGCATAAATATCATGAGGCAGGGAGCTGATGGATTCATCTGGGGTGAGACCCAAACCACTGCATGTAACCCAAGACTGCAGTGAACCGGGTGGCGGAGTGCCCCCTGCCGGCAAAACACAGAACAACGATCAAATCTTCTGCTGCTTTAAATTAGAGTTCACCCTAAAATTACAGCTTATTAATCCATGATGTAAACACACAGCCAAAGTACGTATCTTAAAAAACTTGCTGGTCATATCGAAACTTTTCACTTTAAAGAATACAATTAGGCATTACGGTGGTGCAGTGGGTATCACAATCGCCTCACAGCAAGAAGTTCACTGGTTTGAGCCTCGGCTGGGTCAGTTGGCATTTCTGTGTGGAGCTTGCATGTTCTCCCCATGTTTGTGTGGGTTTCCCGTGGGTGCTCCAGTTTCCCCCACAAGTCCAAAGACATGTGGTATAGGTGAATTGGGTAACCTACATTATCTGTAGTGTATGTGTGTGTGTGGATGTTTCCCAGTGATAGGTTGCAGCTGGAAGGGCATCCGCTGCATAAAACATATGCTGGATAAGTTGGCAGTTAATTCCGCTGTGGTGATCCCAGATTAATAAAGGGACTAAGCCTAAAAGAAAATTAAGGAATGAATATAATCAATGTTATATATATATATTACTCCGCTATCTTGCTGTTTTGGCCTACTATATAGTATGTATTCAGGCACATTTGAACTATAAACTGTTTTATTGTTTTGTTGGCTGAAGCACAACCTACTAAATGCAGTGCACTAATATTCCTTACAGCCTTGGTTTTATTCCTTTAAAAAACTAAATATTGGTGCCCTTAGGATCTGTTGTATGGGTTCCAGACCAGACACTCTCTTACTGATCATCCCATTTACCAGAGGTCACATACAATAAATAAAGAAATATTACAGATACCACAACTTACTTCTAGTGGATCATAAACTTTTGTCTATAATTTGTTACTGTATTCTAATTAAATTTTCCAGAAACACAGTATTGAAACGCATTACATGTTACATTTACAACATGTAATTTGATTACAAGTTCTAAAGTCAGTAAAATTATAATTACAAATGATGATAACTTTTGATTACAAATGAAGTGTTAATACATTCATACATTTTGTGGCAGTGTCAGTAAATGGGTGTGTGCTGCATGTTGTGGTTCTTTTTTAACCACTATCCAACCTGACTACAATTGCAATATTTTTGGATATTCAAACATAATAGACACCTTTCCATCAACTCATCAGCAAGCCCTGATGGTTGGCATGATTACAACTAAAAGATGATCTTACTTGATTGGAAGTCTCCAAAGGCTCCCTGTTTTAAGAGATGGTTGAATGAGCTGCTTTATGTTATTCAAATGGAACGACTACGTCTTGAAACTTCACAGAAAAAAGCTGAAACCACATGGGGACCTATTTTAAGACTCTTGGGAATCTAGCATTTTACCTTTGGAAATTTTCATCTCTAACTCATATATTCATGACACTTACTTTGTAAAAACGTGAATACTGTCATCTTTAATGTTAATTTGTTTATGCTACATATGTCATGTAAATATATTTATGTATATTTGGAAACTGAGACGATCCCTCTCCCTTTTTTTGAGGGGGTGGGGTGGGGCTAATGTCAATTATTTTGTATTGTATTTTTTGTTGGTATTGGAATGTTTTTGTTAAATATCTTAGAAAAAAAATTTAAATAAATCAAAATATTACAACAACTATATCTGATTTGACTTTAGTTTTAGGCTATAACATATACTGGAATAGTTGGTGGTTTATTCCAATGTGGTAACCCCTGATAAATAAGGAACTAAGCCGAAGGAAAATGAATGAATGAATGTAGAAACAAACTGCTATTTTGCAAGAGGTGATGTTTCATAAACAAATTTCGTAAGGAGCATGTCATGATCAGTCTTTGACGAGGCTAATTCATCACAATCATTCTATTATCCAATCGGCTCAAGACCAAACCCATATAAATAGTCAAACACGTCATACCTTCGTTTTTCCTGACTGCAGAATCCTTTCATCACCCCAACTCCACACTATTAAACCGGTTAATTAAACCACAATTGAGCCGGGCTAGACACCGCGCTCAGAGCCTATCTCTCTCTATCCTGATAAGGGGAATAACACGAGTTAGGGTGTCTTTCCAAGCTCAGAGCCCTCTCCACAGACAGCACGCCAAATACGCATATTTTATTAGGTCAAATATCTGTGAGTATGAACTCGTGAAGAGTGTTTTGTAAACAACTATGTTGTCTATCGTGGCTCTGATCTGCCAGTTTCTGACTGAGGAATGATTTTTTTCTCGCATAGGCTGATTGTGCATTCACAATGGTATGAACCCTGATAGGGTTGATCAAATGTATATTTATAATATCTATTATTTTCATTTATATATTATTATTTAAGATACAGATCAGAGCAAATTATTTCCCATTATTTAGAGGACTTACTCCGCATACGTGTTGTTTTGACATCATCAAGGGCAGATCAAGCATTAATTAGGAGGGTCAGTCCCCCCTACACCCCCCTGTAATTCGCACACTGGCTATAAGAAGTTATTTTTGAATAGCAAGTTTTTATATTTTTGCAAAATTCAGTGAAGTGCATCTTGATACCCATATTCCAGGTGCCCACAAACACAGAAATGACGTCCAGCTCAGACTTCTGCGAGTGAGTGGTCTTCATAAGCTGCAGCAGCCGGCAGAAGGCTTCCCGTTTCTATGGGAGACACGTATAAATATATATCAGATTGAGCATGTTTAAGGTAAGCTAATTCAAGTCTTTCTCCTTACCTTTGTGCTCTCGAACACCAGTTCTCTTGGTGGATTGTGATGACTGTCCACGACCATTTTTAGTTTGGCAGGGCCTCTCTGAAACTTCACCAACTGCAAGACTAAAAAACACCATTTACTAGCCTCATATGTCAATAATAGAACCATGATTTTCAGACGAAGTTAAACTCACTCCTGTCAAGTGTCACAGTCTCCACACCAAATGAGCCAGACTTTTTGTCAAACAGCAGCACACCTTCATTGATATCCACCGACACTGTTTGCCTGCCATACCTGACCACCTTGACCTTGACATGTAAACACATGCAAATAAATGAATGAATGCAAATATTGTCACAATTAAAATGTTAGTGCTCTGAAAGGGTCAATAGACACTAATGGTCTACCTGAAAGCTGTGGACAGGATTGGGTCTGGCCAGTTTTTTTGGAGCCCTGCTGGACTCAGGGGGCGTGGCTGGTTGCAATGATAAATTGTGATTGGCTACAGCCTCTTGCAGTGCTTTGAGAACCTGAAAAGACACATTTTGTTCTCATCACCACAGACAGAAATGCATAAGAACTACACATTTGTGGTTCACATACAGTTGAGGTCAGAATTATTAGCCGTCCTAAATTATTAGCCCCCCGTTTAATTATTTCCCCCAAATTCTACTTAACGGAAAGATGATTTTTTTCCCAGCACATTTCTAAACAATAATTCTAATAACTCATTTCTCATTTCTAATAATATTTCTTTTATCTTTGCCATGATGACAATACATAATATTTCACTGGACATTTTTCTAGTATTCAGTTTAAAGTGCAATTTGAAGGCTTAACTACAATAGGTTAATTAGGTTAGCTAGCCAAGTTAAGGTAATTGGGCATTTATTGCAATGGTTTCCAAAGCGGGGTACGCGAGACAACAAGGCAGGGGTCGCTTGGTGATTTCCAATAATATCATATATGTTAATAAACTTTTAGAATTTAATAGCATATTTAATCCATAACCTGCAGAAGATAAAAATAGTATTTAATAGTTACATAAAAAAACAAGCAAATAAAAAGGCATCAGCCTTTCAATTCTTTTTCCATTGGATTGAGACCCCTGGAGTTTTGGTAATGACACAACAATAGTGTTAGTTGCAGCAGATTTATTTTACAGCACAATGTTATACTTTGACTCCTTTACGTCACTCACATACATTAAAAATAAAGGCCACCACTGGACATAGAGGAAGATTTCCAAGTTGCGGTCACCAAAATCAAGACTAGACATGTGCTTTATATTAAATTTAAAAAAGAAATAATGACTATAAAAAATTATATGGTTGTTAGACTGTTGCATTTCTTTTGTGTTGTCAATAAGCTTGTTTAAATAGTTCCTATTGGTCTGTGTGCACCGTTGTGTCAAATGTTTGTATGTTTATAACAGTGGGGGTTGCGAGTCACTGGAATTGTTATTTTGGGGGTCGTGAGTTGAAAAGTTTGGGAACCCTGATTTATTGTATAATGATGGATTGTTCTGTACACAATCGAAAAATATATACAGTTGAAGTCAGAATTATTAGCCCAATTTGAATTTTTTTCTTGTTTTCAAAATATTTTCCAAATGATGTTTAACAGAGCAAGGAAATTTTCACAGTATGTCTGATAATATTTTTTTTTCTGTGGAAAGTCTTATTTGTTTTATTTCGGCTAGAGTAAAAGCAGTTAATTACTCTTACCTGCCTAGTTAATCTAATTAACCTAGTTAAACTTTTAAATGTCTTTAAGCTGTATAGAAGTGTCTTGAAAATATCTAGTCAAATATTATTTACTGTTATCATGGCAAAGATAAAATACATCAGTTATTAAAAATAAGTTACTAAAACTTTTATGTTTAAAAATCTGTTTAGAAATCTGCTCTCCGTTAAACAGGAATTGGGGGGAAAAATAAACAAGTGGCCTAATAATTCAGGGGGGCTAATAATTCTGAAGTCAACTGTACATTGCTTAAGGAGGCTAAAAGAATCAACCAAAAATGTTTTATAAAAAAATTAAAAACTGCTTTTATTCTGGCCGAAATAAAACAAATAAGACTTTCTCCAGAGTATAAAACTTCATAGGAAATCCTGTGAAAATTTCCTTGCTCTGTTAATCATCGGGCGAGGCAGTGGCGCAGTAGGTAGTGCTGTCGCCTCACAGCAAGAAGGTCGCTGGGTGACCGGTTCGAACCTCGACTCAGTTGGCGTTTCTGTGTGGAGTTTGCATGTTCTCCCTGCCTTCGCGTGGGTTTCCTCTGGGTGCTCCGTTTTCCCCCACAGTCCAAAGACATGCGGTACAGGTGAATTGGGTAGGCTAAATTGTCCATAGTGTATGAGTGTGTGTGTAAATGTGTGTGTGGATGATTCCCAGAGATGGGTTGCGGCTGGAAGGGCATCCGCTGCGTAAAAACTTGCTGGATAAAGTGGCGGTTCATTCCGCTGTGGCAACCCCGGATTAATAAAGGGACTAAGCCGACAAGAAAATGAATGAATAAATGAATGTCAATCATCGTTTGAGAAATATTTAAAAAAGAAATCAAATTTACAGGAGGGTTAATACTTGTGACTTAAACTGTATGTGTGTTTATTATGGGACTACTAGTGTGTGTTTGTGTATTTATGATGTTTGTGATTGATGTCTTTACCCTTTTCTCCAGAGAAGACAACAGGTTACAGAGCGTTGTGAGCTTCTGAAGTAGATTATCCATGTTTTCTTCAGGGCTTTTCCCTGTATTCTAACAAACAGAGATACAGTAAGTAACTGAGAAAGCAGAACATTACTCAATACACTGTCTTTACACTTCTTCACAATGCTATTGCTATTGTGCTATTGCTATAATTATTAGTAAAATAATAAGAAGAGATGATTGATTGGTACATGCTGGCTGATTATAGTAGCCTACTGTTTGTTTACAATTACAGTTTAGATTATTATACCTGCATTGTGGAAAAGGTGAGATGTCCACTAGGATGGTCGAACACTTTGGCCAAAGTCTCCAAACTGGACAGTGTCTGGTCAATCTCACTGTGGTAAAGATATCAGGTTAAAGCACATGACCTTTTTTTTTAGAAAATGTAAGAACAGTGATGTTGTTCCTTCAAATGACTACAGCAGTGTGAAAGCATATGTGATGTGGAATAAACAGCACCTGTGGAGACTGTCACATATGTGGCTGAGGATGCCCTGAAAGTGCTGCAGTCCTGACGCGCCTCCTTTCAAATTCTCCAGGTCCTTACACACATTACCATGCAGATACTCATCCAGTAATGAGACGATCTCACAGCCCACACTGCAGAGGGAAACACTCGTAGTCTCGTACACTGAGCTTTTAAAAAATGCTTAAGGTTTTACACATATTAATGTAAAGTGATGTTTTCAAGTTTGATGTTAATCAGTTAAAAATCACAAATTTCTTATCTACATTTGGTCCGAAATGCTGCTGTTAGATTCATTCAAAATAGTAGTAAACGTGGCCTCCATTGGCAGCCCATCCTATTTAGAATTGGTTTTAAAGTGCTTTAAGTTGCTGATGTATAAATACCTACATAATCTAGCCCCAAATTATCTTTCAGAGCTGTTGCATTTTCATACTCCTGTCAGATGTGTAAAGGTCCAGTGAAGTGCTTTGAAATGTGCATTTTTATTCAATGTTTGACGTAATTTCAACCAAAATATAAAGAGGGGGGGGGACAAGTGTAGCCCCTCCCCTTTTAAAAAGAACAGCCAATAGAATTTAGTTTTTCTCAAAAAAGGTGAAAGAAGTTGAGCTTACGCGCATCAAATGTGAAGCGTCTAGAAGGGGGTGGGGCATGTCATATAATAGAGAGCATTTGATTGGTGAAAATTTGATGAGAAACTGAAGGTATGAGGTGACGTGAATAAAAACGTTAATCCATTTAGGCAGAAGTGACAAACTACAAGCTTTATTAAATCTTCTAAACGTGTATTTTGTCACTGTTTTGGTCTGCAAAGGCTCATAGATATCATGAAAGCGAACAATACTGATACTAACATCTAAACTTTTTGTTTTAGCATTATGGGACCTTTAATACCCAGTGAAAAAATCTTCTTTTAGTTCCTCAGTATAGACTAAAGCATTGAGGGGACAGAGCTTTTTCCGTGGCTTGTCTGCAGTTGTGGATCAATCTGCCCCTGGAGATTAGAACAGCACAATCACTATCTACCTGTTCAGTTTGGCTTATTAATATTATCCTAATAATTTTGTCGATTGATTGCTTTTTGTCGATTGGTTTTATTTCTCTGTTTTTATAATTTTTTATTAAATACTACTCATCTTCTTACTAATGTAAAGCACTTGTGGCTGCTTTTTAATGTGCTTTATAAATACTTGAACTTGAATGCAAATACCTATTTGGGCTGAGCTCCTGAAGCCTCTGCAGCAGTAAATGGGGGGCTGCTGAACTGGAAGGCGGAGAGGTTGCAGTCGGGGATATTGCACGTGGTGGCGAGTTGGCAAATGTTGATCCTGGCTTCTCATCGTCACCATCTACAACAAAAGGACATGTGCATGTAAGCTTAGAGGTTTGACAGTTATACATGTAGTATGAAGTGTCACATCAGCCTCACACAAAATATAAACATTTGTTAAATATTCTGTAAATGCAAGAAATGAATTCAGCTGTTCATCCTTATGTTTCATCAGATATCCATAGCTTTGTTTGCAATAGTAAACACAGCTCAAGTTGTGAAGTTTTCTTTTTCAAAAGATTTATTTTTGGCCTTTATTTGATAGGAAAGTATTGAGACAGAGAGTGAAGTTGGAGAGAAAGAGGGGGGTAGGGAAATGTTCTCAAGCTGGGATTCGAACTCAGGACACCCTGACATACTACTGCACCATATGTCGGTGCGCTAACCGCCAGGCTATTGCACTGACATCATATCGGATTTTCTAACTGGTTCTTCTTGATTAATCCAAGTTCAGAATATAGTTAGAGACCTGTTTTTTTTTTCTGAGCTTGACAAATTTTCTCCCTTTATGTGGTTTGTTTAGGCCATTGTGAACACAGCAATTGTTTTCGAATCTGCACCAGAATAGTTGGTCCAAGATCATTTGATAGAGATGGTCTTTGCACCCTTGGAAATGAACCCTTGAGAAATCAATCCAACAGAATGAACCAGTGAATCAGACTTTATCACAATTCATTATGGGTTATTAGGCCTACACGGAATCTGGGCAGATTTTAGCCCATCATTGAGTCTATTTATTTACTTGGGCACTTGTGTGTAAATTTATTACATTAATTCAGTTTTTAAATTAATGTCATTAATATTATTGACAAATTTGAAAATGTTCAAATGATTTTTTTTACAATACAGTTTGTAAAGTAATATTTATTGTCTTTTAGTATATGTATGAGAAACTTGCTTTGTTTACCAATTAAGTGGGTCTAATTGTATTTGCATTGTTAATATTAAATAAAAGTAAAAAAAAAAAAAAGTTAATTTTTTTATTTCATATATAAAGTTTTAGTTATGATAATTACGAGATTTAGTTTATGTGCATAAATCAACAGATTCTTTTAGTAAAATTCTGCGCAGTATACATAAATTTATGCAAATTCTGCGCAATAACATAAATGTTCGCAGATTCTGTCTGCCCCTAGTTATTGCATGCACTGCATAAATTTCAGCAGAATAATGCCTCTCAGAAAATGTTAATGTGGATTAAAAACGATGTTAAATTCCTAACTGATATCCACTCAGCTTCCATCATCCCATCTTACCTGAGCTTTCATCATTGGCTTCTGATTCACGCATAACAGGGTAAAGCAATGGGGCGACCAGACCTTTGTTTGGGTTTTGATACCCCAGAACTAAATCACCAAGAGTACGGAAACAGTTCACCTGCACTCCCTGGGTGGCCTGAAAGGAAAGCACACACATAAATGTATTTCAAAGACCAAATACAACAGGACAACAAAAGAATTTGAAATGTACTATATCAAATTACTCAAACATTTATTTTCACCTCAATCTATTTTAAATCAATCTCTTTATTAAATTCCAAACATGTGGAGTTCAGACACACCTATTAAACTCACACGGCAAAAATAATTTGAGACTTTACATCCTAAAAAAGAAGGTAGAAATGCAGAACTGCTAGGTTTGCCACAACAAGAATTTGCTCTAGGTAGGGTAACTCCCAAAACATTTAAGTTTTTCCGTTTCGTAGACCAAAGATACAATTATATTATGATGCCCTCATTTTAGCCTCTGCCAAACTCTACATACCACAAAAAGCCACTAGCCAGTTACCCACTGTGCAAACCAGGGGCACACATACGCACATACATACTCTAACCATCAGGCATCATGACAAATAAAATAGCAAGCTCTTTGAACGCACCTTTTTTTAGAAGCTTGTGTTTTTAAAGAATGGTCGATAAAACCATTCTGGCAAAAACCTTTAAATTATTCCCCCTAAAATCTCCAAATAGCAGCATGTTTTCCTTCCAAGAGTGCAGCCCTTGAAAAGCGATTAAAAGAAATTATGCACTGGGAGGGGGAGATTTTTCAGAAAATGCTTTACAAAATGTAATATGACTGTTCTTGAATATATATATATATATATATATATATATATATATATATATATATATATATATATATATATATATATATATATATATCTCATCATAATTTGTTTCCAAACCTTCATGAGTTTCTATAGAAGATTTTTTAAGAGAGCTGAAACCCTATGACCATTGACTTCTGTTGAAGGAAAAACAAATACTATGGAAGTCAATGGTTACAGGTTTGCTAGCTTTCTTCAAAATATCTTAAACAGAATAACTCAAACAGCTTGGAACAAGTGAATAAATTATGCCAGAATGTTAATTTTTGGGTTAACTAAGTATTTAAGTCCAATTTAAAAATATAAATCATAGTGTTTATATCTAAAGCACGCCAGGGCATTTCATCCATAGCAAAAAAGACCTTTTATTCCTTTGTGTCCAGAAATTCTGACACAGAAACAATTGTCACACATTTGAATTTCCACACAAGAAAACAAACTCATTCCAGTCATTGCTGACTGGAAGAGGAGTGTGGGTGCAGGAGTGTCCGTGAACCATTTTATTGACAGTGAGTACCACTGAGGTCATGAAACCACGCAGCTGCATGCTTCAAACAGCAGAAGAACAAGACTGGAAGTGAAAGTAACAAGTTCAATGACAAATCAACTATCATTTAAATTATCCTGTCTAATTTGGATTTGTTATATATATATATATATATATATATATATATATATATATATATATATATATATATATATATATACATACATACATACATATGCTTTCTTAGTGTACTTCTGACCATGCAAACTTATTTGTCTCACCTGCACAGCCAATAATCCATCTGCATCAGGGAGAATTCGATAGGTGTGAACATGCCGCTGAAACCTATGGACAATATAGACAAGACAGTTAAAATTATAGTTAAATGATGATTATAGATAAATGAATAGCGGTAAATACAGTTAGATATTACGCTGTATACAGTATATGTGTGTGTTTGTCTGTGCGCACACTTGTTTTCATATCCCATTGGAGACCTAAATCTGAATGCACATATATTAATGGGAAATATTTTCACCATGTGGACAAAAATTAAAGCATAAACATGCTTTGAAATCGTATAGAATGAAGTATTTGAAAAGTATAAACGTGCAAATTGTTTAGGGGTGGGGGATAAAATATTCAGCTAGTTTAATCAAACACCATTTGATAATATTTCTATGAGAGTCTCAACTGGGATATAGGAACAAATCTGTGTGTGTGTGTTCTTGAAACCCATACATAAAATTTTTTTTTTAAATCTTCCAAAACATTTTTCAGAAAAGGAGATGTTGCACAGGGCGATGCGATGGGTCAGTGAATATGAACCATGAATATGTATGTAAAGTCAGTTTCAGTGAATAACAATTCAAACTACAATTTCAGAAAACATATTGAAAAACTGTAAGATGGTACCTTTTCAAATACTACACCTACAGTATGTACCCTATTTAAAGGTACTTTACAGTGGTGTAAAGTGTGTTTATGTTTATTCAAATGGCATCAAAGTACCTTCCACAGAGTTCTTTCAGTTTTTGAAGACATACCTTAGTCAAAATGAATGAAGTTACTACGTTTATAGTACATTAAATATTTAGATGGCAAATTTGGCCATGGTGTTTAGTAGAGGAAATTAACTCATATGTTTAGAAGAATCAATATCTGAGCTAGTCTCTTTTGTACAAGCTATCCTAAAAGTGCACTATACATGTGGTTCTTGTGCACTTTTAGAATAGTTTGTACAAAAGAGAATAGCTCAGATATTGATTCTTCTAAACATATGGTGTTTAGTAGAGGAAATTAACTCATATGTGTGTTTGCAACAACATGAGGGTGAGATAATGATGTCAGAGTTGTATTTTTGTACTAACCCTTCAAATTACCCAGCTAAAAAGAAACAATAAAAGTAATGTTTTGCATCCTATGGTTGCCATAAAGTTAGTTTTACTAAGTAATTTGTTATGACTGACAATAAACAGGATCACAAGAGAAGATATTTTAAGAAATGGGTCATCGTGTGGCTTAATAAACAATGTGTGCATATTTGTCATTGATGGTTTCTATGGTCACCGTGTGCCAGCATCAATTCTGAAAGTGTGAGTAAAAGTTAATTTTACCATGTAAAGCCACAGAATAAAAACTAACCCAGTCACTTCAATGTGTCTTATCATAAAACATCATATTCCTGTGCTCATTTGCATCTGGCCACAAAACCTTGCGCACACATTCAGCTTAGACCACTCAAGACATAATTAGAAAGCTCAGTGTTTCCAGGTAATGCAAAGCAAGAGGAAAAAGCGCACTGAAACGAAGAGAGACTTGAGCATGTGTGAAGATGTTTTGCATGTGAACTGTTTCAGAGTGAAGAGATGAGGTAGAGGGCAAGGCAAAGAATGAGTATGGGCCAGATGACAAGTAAAGGGGAGAATGAATGAGAGAGAATGAAAGAAATAAAGTAGGGAGAGCAGTTGAAGCTGGAGGGCTCAGCCTTCAGGAATGTGTCTGGCTGTGGGCCGCAGTGGAGAGAGAGCAGTGCGGTCACTGGAGTCTATTCCCTCCTACAGGGGCCAGAGACAGGAGGAAAACAGTGAAAACTGAGGCCTGAACAAAGCTGACCGAGTGAGGCCTAGAGGGGCTGCGGTAGACTGGGGCTCGTCTCATGGAGCTCACATGGACTTTAAGATGGACATCGCTAAACTGTCTGAAAGGTAGCCCTACTTGCTGTATTCTTGCCAATGTTCAGCTGATATCTGATGGGGAAGGCAGACACATGGCTGTAAAATCCATCTCACAACCAAGGACTTACGAAAAAAAAATACAATAGCTTATTGACTTCTTGACAATACCTGATAACCATCCCAATTCATGTGAAATATATCAGCGGGCATCACCAGGAATTGATGTGGACAGGCAAGCGCATCATAATTTTGCCAAGTACAATGCAATCCTGGATTAACATCTGTGTTGATCATGGAACATCATTTTTGTTGGAAAATGTAACCCATACCTATTCCCTACGCCTAACCCCAACAATAACTGTGAAATATTTCCAAAATCACAAGGGAATATTAGTTAACAATCATGTAAAAGTGTATAAACCTAACCATAAGCTTAACATAAAACCTAACCAAAACTTAACATAAAAAGTAAACATATCCCTAATTCTGACTGGCTGATTGGAATGTTGTTTCAGGATTAACATGTTAACCAGGAACATGTCCTACTAGGTGAAATCAGGTTGGTGGGATATGCATCAAGGTTATCTGTGATTGTCACTGCTTTACACTGTTCAGATATACAGTGAGTATATTACTTGGCCTTTATGGCACAACAGATCTTGAGGATCGCTGACAAATATCTTATGTTATAAATTGTGTGGTAAGTGGCACCGCTCCCTACACTGTTTTCATTTGATTGTATATTCAGCAGTACATTTATTCGTAATTTAATTGTATTTTTGTACTCTTTGATATTTTATTTTAATTAGAGATTTCTCGATCAGGTTTTTTTTGTCCTTGAGTCCGAGTCATTTGATTTTAAGTATCTTTACCAAAACCGATCCGGTCTCTATAATACATTAAAAAAAATTCTAATCGAGGTTCTACATGCTCCATAAGCTTTAGAAATCCAGGAATCTCTACAATGGCGAATATCAGGTCACTCATTGCCATCATTTGTGCTATCTTGGCTGTGATGTCCTGTGCCTTTGCGCTGTCATGGGGTGTTTTTCTCTTCTCTTCAAACTCTCTTGCAGCGCGAGCTGACTCGTCTTCGGTTGAGTTGCCTGGGTAAATTCGATGTATTGTGTCAGGTGTTTGTTTTTGAGGTGCCTTATCAGGTTTGTGGGGTTAAATATAGCCTTTTCCTTTCCACCTCAAGCAATCCCAAGTTTACATATCTTACAGTTAGCTGATGGATTCTGATAAGACTCTGATGGCATGATAACCTTGGATAAAAATATCCACTGCTCTAAAATATATAATTTTTAAATGTCTGGGTAAAAAACGAAAACTTCTTTGCTCTTTGAAAATAGTACATTCTAATTTTGTGAAAAATTTATGATATTTTCGAACAGTAAACATGTCAGGCTAAATAATAAATAAATAAATAAATTCAAATAAATCCCTGTCTTCTACGGTCATTAATTGTTTTTCAAATATCTTTACAATTTTAAAACGGCATCTTTGGATATCCTTTCTTCTGGAGATATTGTTGTCCTAAAAAAATAAAATAATAAATAAAAAATCTTATGCATACTTTAGGAAAGGTATTACAGAAAGTTTAGGCGGCTTTAAAACCTTGACGATCAAGTTGCACTCGTTGCTGTTTCTGTGTGAAGTCAAGAAAGAGGTCTAACTCAGTGCCACTACATAACTATAGATGTATTAAAAATTAATGAGAGTATATATGTATATATATATATATTAGAGTCCTGATCGGGAGATACTGTCCGATTCCAATCAAGTCTGAAACTGCATGATCAGGCCCCATTTCTGGTCAAGTGATAGGGCCGGTGTCCTGCATGTTTTAGTTTCAACCACAATTAAACACACATGAACCAGCTAATCAAGCTCTGTCTGGGTATACTAGAAACTTCGGAGCAGGTGTGCTGAAGGAAGTTAAAGCTAAACTATGCAGGACACCGGCCCTCCAGGACTGCGTTTGGACACCCCTGACATACAGTCTGAGACTAACTAAATTGAAATTCTCTGAATGTCTGTATCTTTTAAGTGAAATGCACAATAAAGTTGACTTTGATCTGAATAGAAAATGCAAGTGTGTTTTCAATAACGCAGCATATTGACAAGCTCCCCTGATGTGAACAAATTATTTCTAAAACTCACCCAGTGTTAATGTTATTAGTGTGAAAATCCCGACAGACTGCTGAGTGTGGTGATGAATGCATTCTGGATGAATCCATCAAATCACTTGTCAGAAAATGTGCAAAGTGTGTATAAATATTTGAATAGACTACATCAGTGTTTCTCAACCACGTTCCTGTAGGATCAGCAGCTCAACATATTTTCCATGTCTCCTTAACCAAACACGCCTGATTCAAATCATCAGCTTTTTAGCAAAGACTGAAAGACCTGGGCTGTTTCTCAATTTCAAGAACGTAGTGAACGGACTCACGTTCTTGTGGAGACTGGTCTTGCCAAGTTACCTTGAAAGAACAAACTCATGAGACCGAGAGAACAGAGAACGCGTCCTGTGACAAATGAGCTGCTGCGTTCTTACCTGCTTCTTCTGGATGGTCACATGACCTTTACGGGTTTTTAATGGAAAATTGTTTAAACATTACAGCATTCATACAACAATTTATTATTTTTCCCCTTTTCACAATATATACTTTGCATTAAACCTTACAAATATATGTTACACAATACAAATAAAACTAATTTACAAATTAAAAATACATTTTAATACAAATTTCAGCAAATAAACACTCTTAATGTGTTTATGCCTTTATTAAGATTTTCATATTAATGTTTACTTTCACCGTCTCATTTAGGGAAACTCCTGAGGTAAATATGTTATATCTCTGAACTAATAATGAATCTATATAAAATGCTGCTCTTCCCACCTCCTTTATTCCTTAAGCACAAAACTTGCTCGAGAAGTCCCAGAAATCATAAAGGATTTCTGGAACTTCTCGAGCGAGTTTTGTGCTCAAGTCTGCATTGATATCAAGAACACATCTGGGTAGTTTCAGGCGTTCTACGTTCTTGCGGTCTTGAGTTTTGGAAGTGAAAGAACAAGGATGCAAAAACGCATATTGAGAAACACCCCTGTAATGGGTGTGACAGGCAAAGGAGACATCCAAAACATGTAGTGTTGGTGGTCCTCCAAGAACGTGGTTGAGAAACACTCCACTACATGACTTTAGAAATCAAGACATCGTGCACTTGACGACTATGTAACAGGTTACAGATCGTACACTTGCACAATGAATGGACTCTTTTCACAATTACTGGTTTCTCAGCAGCAGAAGTCATCATAGTACAATTTATTTTTTTACAATCCTATTTGCTGAAATAATAAAAGAAAAAACTTTTTTTATCTTAAAAATATAGTATTATCAAGACCTTCAGAAAAAGGAAGAACTAGTGTGAGACTAATAACAGCAGCCAGAAGATAGAACAAGGTCAAATATACTGTGCCGCCGCACACTGCATTAAAACACTTCACATAAGCGTTAATTAGTTTTTTTGTTATGTGATGCAAAGATGATGTAATACATACATAAATACATATATATGTACATGCATTTTATAAAATTGAAATATTTACAACTTTCAAGATTTAAAGATGCTGATGACCATTAAATGCGTCATGACAGTCTTGTGAAAAGAGTCCATTATTCATTTGTTTTAAGCACAAAAGTTTGAAATGTTAGATATTTTAAACATGTTTGTTGTCCTCTGAGAAGAGGGAATCACTATCTGAGGTCATTCACTTCTTAGTTAAAATCTGAAAATCACGCTCTAACATTTACCATGTAACACTATCTGTACAGACTGCAAATTTTGGTGTTGTGTAGTATGGTCCAACCTTAAAAAGTATTACTCACAGCAGACACAAGGCGTAGGCTCCAGGCACAGATTCGCTGTCCCTCACCAGGAAGCTGCCATCAATTCCAGCATGGGCCAGCAGTTCTTCAGCTCGCACGCGACTGATGTCTCGATGGTACCACGGCGCTCCAGTCATGGTTATTTCTGAAGACAGTCCCAGCAGAGTGTCCTTTCCAGGTCAGAATCCCAGCAGTTGCAACTGCTGATCTCAAGTCATGCTATGGGAGCTCCAGACTGTCATCAGAAACTGAGCACGCAAAGTCAGATCCAGCAGTGTTACAGCATCCAAATATCCTTGTTTACACTGTCTAATGTGTTTTCCTGCTTGTGAGTGTGTGGCATTCAAAGTTACGATACGTATTTGGCCTGAGGGCAGATTTAGAACCAGCCTCCTCTTCTCATGAGCTGCACCAACTCAATGTTGAGAGCTCATTACAGAGTGAGGTAGATGACAGAGCGCCCATACGCATGCTACCCACACTGATCACAAAAGCTCCAATTGTCTGGCAGCAAACATCCTCTGTGCAAACGCTTCCAAGAAGAGGAACTAAGAGTGAAGAAAAGCACCAGATCCAGACTACGCAGACATGAAAAGGCAGTGATGCAGTACCACCACAAATTCAAATACTTTTCCACTCAGTTGCTTTCGCCTTATAAGGGCAAGGCTACACCCCTCTGAGAAGTTCAGCTGATGTCTGCAAACTCCACTAACTACAAAGCTTTAGGGAAAGAACCAGACCTGGACCCGCAAAGATGACTGAGAAGGCAAAATCATGAGGGTCTTCAAATCAGGAGATGGACCCCTCGCAAAAGGAAGGAAGTGCTTCACGGCTCCAAATAGTAGAGGAGGAAGATACAGCAGATTAAAAAAAAGAAAACACAAACCTGAATTCCTGACCTCACATCATCAGTGATGCATGAAGCTAAGCACTTCAGGAACTGTTGTTTACTTCATCCCTCCCGGTGATCTTCAGAAAACCCATGCCATCCCACTCACAAGTGTAACTAAATCACAGTCACATGCTATGAATCGCTCTCTACAGTTCTCCCCCGGTCATATGCTCTCTCAGCTTCAGCAATATCTAGGTTACTGTGTTACGTTTCCAGTTGTTTTTCTTTCACTCCTTGTTGGTTTTCCAGTCCTCTCTCTCTCTCTGTCCAGGAAGTGAAGAATACAAGCTCCACCATATGGATATGATCATCCCCCTTTCTCTGCTTCTCTTGTTTAGTCCTTCTCCTCCCCTGTTTTTCTTCGCTCTTTCTGTTTCCAGCCTCTTGACTAACACCATCGCTCACTACTCAGCAAAAAACAGTCTGCAAACTTAACCACGACACACAAATAGAGCACTCCACCCCCAAGTCTCTGTTTGTTGTGAGTGGGCTATAAAAAGTCATTGTTTTTTCCACTATTAAGCAGCTATGAAGGAAGTCAGGCAGTCCCAAGAACTTTCTACCGCACCCTTCATCCTTCGTGTTGTCTGTTCAGTGTTTTGGCAATAAAGCACACGAGCTCATACGAGAGTACAGGTTGGCAAAATGCAGGAGCATTCAGAGGTACCAGCATTTATAGTGGCAAAACCATTGTGAAGTACTGATAAATGATCACTGAATGTAAATAAACTTTTTTTGAGTTTATGCAAATCTTTTTTATTTAAACCTCTGCTTGTGTCTGATTTGCATTTCAATTTTGCATAGTTCATCTGAATTTCTCTTTGCAACCTGCTGTATTTTCATAACTACTTTTAGGCTCTAGGTTTTGTTTTCACACTTTCAAATAAATTGAACGGTTCAACATATCAAAGTTGGTTGAAATACTACATGATCGAAAACGAGCAATGTCTTACTGTTTTTATTTGGATTACAGTGCACTGATAAATTGTTCTTAAAGTATGTGTGAAATTAAAAAGTGCAGTGTTTATTTAGCTGGTGCGAATTATTCTGTAGGTGAGGGGTGTCCAAACCTTTTTTTATGAAGGGCCGTAAAACAAAACTTGGTCGAGAGCTGTGGGCCGAAGATAAATATACCAAACTGTATTGCATTAAAGTTGCCATGAGTAATTAATAATATTTCAAAATAACTAGGAGGGCAAAGCAGTGGCGCAGTAGGTAGTGCTGTCGCCTCACAGCAAGAAGGTCGCTGGTTTGAGCCTCGGCTGGGTTAGTTGGCGTTTCTGTGTGGAGTTTGCATGTTCTCCCTGCGTTCGCGTGGGTTTCCTTCGGGTGCTCCGGTTTCCCCCACAGTCCAAAGACATGCGGTACAGGTGAATTGGGTGGGCTAAATTGTCTGTAGTGTGTGTGTGCGGAAATTTCCCAGAGACGAGTTGCGGCTGGAAGGGCATCCGCTGCGTAAAAACTTGCTAATAAAGGGACTAGGCCAACAACAAAATGAATGAATGAATGAATGAATAACTAGAAATCAGGGTGTCAAAGTGACGCAGTCAGTAGCCTGATCGTCTCACAGCAAGTAGGTCGCTGGTTTAAGCCCCGGCTGGGTCATGGTCTCCCTGTATTTGCGTGGGTTTGCTCCGGGTGCTCTGGTTTCCCCCACAGTCCAAAGACATATGGTATACAGGGATTCTGCAGGTTTCACAGAGTTAAATTCAAGACTTTTTAAAACCATTATGAATAAAATTTTCGACCATCTTTCAAATGGCCCAGATGGGAGAGATTTTTATTAGTGTATTTCTTGTGTTATTTCTTAGCTAAATATTTTAAATATTATGTAAAAACAAGCAAGCTCTACTTGTTTCCATATTTTTTCCAACAAAAACATTATTGTAAATGATTTAAAAAAAATTACAAATGTTTTAAAAGTTTTAAAAACTATAATAAACTAAATATAAGCACAACAGTCTGTTCAGGTCGGTGTCCTCTGCAGTGGAGAACATTTAAACAAATGGTACTGTAAGGAAGACAATTAAACCAGTATGATTAATAAAGTTAAAAATTACCTTTTAAATAAAGGTTTAGAGTTTTACTGAGATAATTGTTGGTGATTTTGGCCAGATTTGATTGCAATACAAACAAAGAAACAAAGGAAAATTAAGATCTGTTTAAAAAAAGATTAAAGACCAACAACACAATATTTCAGTAAATTTAAGACTTTTTAAGGCCTAAAATTTGGATTTTGAGATTTGAGACATTTTAAGACTTTTTAAGACTTTGCAGTAATACTGGGTATAGGTGAATTGAATTAACTAAAATTAGCCATAATGTATGTGATTGCATGTGAGAGTTTGGGTGTTTCCCATTGTTGGGTTGCAGCTGCACTGCGTAAAACATATGCTGGATAAGTTGGTTCATTTCACTGTGATGACCCCAGATTAATAAAGGGACTAAGCCTAAAAGAAAATGAATGAATGAATGAACTAGAAATCATTGCTTTATATCAACTAATTCTGTGCTTTTTTATAATAAATTTATAACAAAACAAAAACAATCCCATTCATAACAGTATGAAGTTCAATGCCAAATACATTAGTCAACTGCACACGTTTTTGCTTTGATTTAATGTCTCATTGATGTCTATGACATTGTTCTCTGTCCATAGAGTGACAGTTTTTACAGTATTTCTGAAAATAAAGATTAATTTACAATTGAAACTCAAAAAAGGTTATGTCATGTTATATTAGAAATGACGATCTCGGTAAAGGCATTCACCCCACTCTCTTCTCTGATTGGATGGTGGGCCAAATCAAACGTTATCATAGGCCAACTTTGGCTCACAGGCCCTTGTTTGGGCATCTCTGTTTTCAGTGAACAGTTAATCCCTGCAAGTTAATCCATTGGAAAAAAAGTTGTTTTGGAAATATTCAAATTCTGATGATTTGCTTTTACATTTGGAGTGGCAGTCCTTCTCTGTTGATGCCAGTCTGATAGTTTCAGGCACAATATTCACAACCATGCATCTTTTACTGTTAGATTGAAATTAGGGAAAAATCCCAGAAAAAAGTAATCCCAGACACCACAAAATTTTTTCCATACATCAACATACTAAAATAAAAGTCTCAGAAAATGGTTAAAAGTTAACAGGGTTATTTTGAATTTGTGTTGAATGTGTGTGCTTCAAATAGGATCTGATCCAGGCTTGACCCTCAGTGAGGTGTAATCACACAGATTCTACTAGCTGGCCCAGTGTCCCTGGCATAGAGAGCGAGCATCCTAACAAGGATGCTTAAGACCACAATTTCAGCTTCAGTCACTAGCAGTGTTGGCGTAACGCATTACAAGTAATGGGATTTATGTAATAATATTACTTTTCTAAGTAACAAGCAAAATAAAGCATTACTTTTGCATTCATTTTCTTTTCTGCTTAGCCTCTTTATTAATGTGGGGTCGCCATAGCGGAACGAACCGCCAACTTATTTAGGATACGTTTTACGCAGCGGATGCTCTTCCATCACTGGGAAACATCCATACATACTCATTTACACACATACACTATGAACAATTTAGCTTACCCAATTCACCTATACCACATGTCTTTGGACTGTAGGGGAAACCGGAGCGCCCGGAGGAAACCCGCGCAAACACGGACAAAACATGCAAACTCCACACAGAAACGCCAACTGACCTGGCCGAAGGTCTAACCAGCGACCTTCTTGCTGTGAGGCGAACATGCTTTTTGAAGGTAAATGTACGTGTAGGTTATACACTGTGTTGTTAAATGCAGAGCTTCTCTGTAAAACAAAGAAAGAAAAAAAAACAAGTTTTGAAAGAGATCAAGCCTTAGCCAGGTAATAAAAATTCACGCAAAAGTAACTCAAAAGTAATATAACGCATTACTTACTATAAAAAGTAACTGAGTAACTCAATATTGTAATGCATTAATTTAAAAAAATAATTCCCTAACACGGGTCACTAGTAAACATCTTGAGGTCACAGAAATTAGGTTTACTCATACACCCCTTTTTACACACATAACCCTGCCAAACCAGGTCAAAGCACCAGTTGTAATGTTTGTTTTGACGATGGATGACTGTCACTCAGATTTTTTATTTATGAAAACAGCATTTGAGATTCTGTAGTCCGGTTTGTCTGGTTATCCAATCACCTGTTATGGCAAAATATCAGATTAAATTGAGTGCATTTTTAATGGAAACACTTTATGCACTAGTGTTTTTATGCACATTTTTGTGTTTATGCACATCTTGGCATTTGCGTTTAGAATTGTTAATGCAATGCCCAAAATG